TATTGGCACAATTTGGGGCACATCGTCTGTCCAAGGGGCCTCCTGGTCCACAAAAGAAAGTGCGGCGGCGGGATGGGCCGAAGGCCAGTAGATACCGGCATACCCCCACGCCTCACAAAAAAGGTTGCCAAGGAGGACGGGGGGCGAAGGAAGGGGAACGTCGCCTTAACAGGAGCAGGGGGAGCGGGAGGAGCAACAGGGAGAGGGGCACGGCGGCAGAGGACTAGCAGGACGAGGGGGACGAAGATGAGGATGGAGGGCGACGGGAGGGCGGGGAATGGAGAGAAGCGGGGAGCTGCGGGGAAATGTGGGGAGGAGGGCGGAGGGGCGAGGAGGATTGGAATGTAATGGGGAGGGGCGGGAGGAGTGTGGAGGTTGGCGGGGGCATGCAGGGAATGGGGACAGGAGCAAAGTGGAGGGAGGCGGGGAAGGGAAACAAGGAGGGGAGGGGGAAAGGAGGGGGAGCGGGGAGGCGACAGCAAGGGGCTGAAGGGGGAACTGGGAGAGGAGATGGAGCATGCAGCCGATGCCCAGCGCTCCATGGCCCGAAGCGAATTACGTTCCACGGTGGGGGGCCCGAACCCGAAGAACGCGAGGGCACAACGCGCGCCGCCTGCGGTATCGCAGACGAGGCGGATGCTTTCCAGCAGCTGCGCCTCATCGAAAGGTTTCGAGGGCGCCCGACCCATCCCGAATTCTGGCCGGAGGCCCAAGCTACGCATGGCCCGAAAACCACTTGGAAGATCGAGGTTCGAGGATCGTGGATTTTGGACGCGCTCGGCAGCTAGTGCGAAAATTATGACAATATGAAACATTCGAATTAATCCGACGGTAGGCCCCACATGGTAATCTCCTTTGTTAGCACGAGAGTCCCTCCCTCCCTCCCTCCCTCCCTCCTCCTCCCTTGCCTCTCTTGCCTGTTCCTCCTCCTCCTCCTCCTCCTCCTGCCTCCTCCTCCTCCTCCTCCTGCCTCCTCGTCGCCCGCCCCCTCGTCCTCCTGATCCTTGTCATCCTCCTCGCCCTTCTATTCATCCTCGTCCTCCTCCTCCTCGTCCCCTCCTCCTCCTCCTCCTCCTCCTCCTCCTCCTCCTCCTCCTCCTCCTCCTCCTCCCTCCTCCTCCTCCTCCTCCTCCTCCTCCTCCTCCTCCTCCTCCTCCTCCTCCCTCCTCCTCCTCCTCCTTCCTCCGTTCCTCCGCCTCCTCCTCCTCCTCTCGGCCTCGTCGTCTCCTCGTCGTCCTTGATCCTCGTCCTCGTTCTCCTCCTCCTCCTCTCCTCAGCATCATCATCACATCATCCTCGTCCTCGCCCGTCCTCCTATTCATCCTCGTCCACCTCCTCCTCCTCCTCCTCGCCCTTCTTCCTCCTCCTCCTCCTCCTCCTCCTCCTCCTCCTCCCCTCCTCCTCCTCCTCCTCCTCCTCTCCGCCTCCTCTCTGCCATCGCGTCGTCATCGTCGTCCTTGTCCTCGTCTCGTCCTCCTCTTCATCATCGTCATCATCATCAGCTATCATCATCATCATCCTCGTCCTCGCCCTCCCCTCCCTATTCATTCCTCCTCCTCCTCCTCGTCCCCGTCCCTCTCCTCCTCCTCCTCCTCCTCCTCCTCGCCTCCTCCTCCTCCTCCTCTCCTCCTCCTCCTCCTCTCGACCCCTCCTCATCCCCCTCCTCATCGTCCGTCCCCCTCCCTCCTCCTCCGTCCTCCTCCTCCCTCCTCCTCCTCCTCCTCCTCCTCCTCCTCCTACTCCTCCTCCTCCTCCTCCTCCTCCCCTATCTATCGTCGTCCCCCTCTCCTCCTCCTCCTCCGCCTCCTCCTCCCTCCTCCTCCTCCTCCTCCTGCTCCTCCTCCTCCTCTCCTCCTCCTCCTTACTCTCCTCATCTCCCTCCCCTCCTCCCCCCCTCCTCCTCCTCCTCCTCTCTCCTCCTCCTCCTCCTCCTCCTCCTCATCCTCCTCCTCCTCCTCCTCCTCTCCTGTCCTCACCTCATTATCAATCTTCTCCTTCTTCTCCCGCTTGCCACTTCCTAGCCTCCTCCTCTTCCTCCTCCTTCATACCCTCCTCCTCCTCCTCCTCCTCCTCCTCCTCTTTATCCTCCTCGTCCTCTTTATCCTTCTCCTCCTCCTCCTCCTCCTCCTCCTCCTCCTCCTCCTCCTCCTCCTCCTCCTCCTCCTCTTCTCTCCTCCTCATCTCGCCTCGTCCTCTCCTCGTCGTCCTCGTCGTCGTCCTCGTTCTCCTCCTCCTCATCATCCTCCTCCTCATCATTATCCTTTTCTTCCGTCTCTATCTGTGCGCGGAGCAAGCCGTTCAGACGCCGTTCGCCGATGAAGCCAGAGCAAGCCGTTGGTCAGATTCCCAACGGGAGGTCGGAGTTCGGGGAGAGGAGAGGGGGGGTCCCGATTCAAGCCCGAGGAACCCAGAAATGACAACGGTTGCAGGGGTCGGATGACCTGCGCGTGGAAAAAATATGAGGCGGGGACCCCATAGGGAGGAGCTCCCGCTAGAGACTTCGTCACGATGCACTCACAGAAGGGGCTTCCGCTTTCAGGCCCGAGGAGCCCAAATTGACGACAGTTACAAGGATCGGATGACCCGCACGGGTAAAAAACAACACGAGGCGGGGACCTCCTGCCAGAGACTTCCTCACGATTCGCTCACAAACGAGGCTCCCACTCGAGACTTCTTCTAAATACAGGCCCGAGGAGCCCGGAAGTGACGACAACTACAGGGATCGGATGACCCGTACTGATTAAAAGCATGAGGCGGGGACGCCATGGGGAGGAGTTCCCGCTTGAGACGTCCTCGCGATTTACTCACGGACGAAGCTCCCGCTCGAGACCTCTCCAAGATGACTGCGCGTGTGTGAGCGAATGAGTGGGTGAGTGTGTGTGTGGTGTGTGGTGGCGGCGATGTTGAATCCGATGTTGTCGATGACAGTGATGATGGTGACGAGGGTGATGATGGCGATGGTCATGGCACAGTGGTAAGCGATGATGCTGGTCACGGCGCGATGAGTGATGAAGCTGATGATAAGTGTGATTGTGAAGATTATGATGATAATGATGACGACAGCAATTATGCACCATCATTAAAAAGCGGGGGAAGAAGAGAAGCGAGAAAAGCAACAATATTAGAAGTGGGAAAAGCAGAAAAGTGGAAAACGGCCGCCTCATCATCTTGCCCCTCCTGCCGCTCCCACGCGCTTCTTTTAAGAAATTGTTGGGACATTCGGGCGTTTGGCGTTTTTCCTATTTCTCGCGCTTCGCGTTGTTAAGAGGTTCGCCCTTCCCCGCGCGTGTCTTGCTCTACGTTTCGCGCTTGACGCACTGTTATACTTTCTGACTTCTCGCAACGTTTCGGGCTTTTTCTTCTCATCGCACTTTTCTACTTTTCTAAGTTTCGCATTTGTTTCGCAATGTTTTACTCTTCGTCCTTTTCGCACTTTTCATACTTTTCGCACTTCTCTACTTTTCGCACTTTTCGTGTTTTCGCACTTTCCGCATTTTTCTACTTTCCGCACGTTTCGAATTTTTCGCATTTTTTACACTTTGCTTTTTTTTTCTCACTTTTCGCGTCTTTCCCCAGTTGGTAGCCGGCTTAGCAAAGGCTTCCCCCCTCGATCCTCGAGTGTCGAGGGCAATGCTGAGCATGGAAGGCCGCAGGCGACGGCTCTCTCGCCGACGCAGGGGCGCGCGCTGGGCACGCCCGGAGAGTGCCGCCCGGTGCCCCCAGGAGACGTCGGGCCTGGGGTCGGTGCTCGTGGGCACGGCTGCTCGAGGCGGGTGCGCTCCTCGCCCGACGGGATCGGCGAGGGCGCCAGCTGTCCTCGAGACCCTGGGCTCACTGCCCTTGCCCACCCTCGGGAGCCTTGGGGCGGGGGTCAATGCAAGCGTGGGTCAGCCAGAGCGCCCGATCTTGCAGGATCCTGCAGGGCCAGGGTCGCATTGACGCAGGTTTGGGTGCAGGATCCTGCAGGATCGTGCGGGATCCTTGGCACTGACCCGGGTTTGGGTGCAGGATCTTGCAGGATCTTGCAAGGCTGCACTGACCCGGGTCTGGATTGACCTGGGTCTGGAGATCCCCGACACCCAGACCTGCTCGCGTCGTGGAAAGACCAAGGCGCGGGAGATTTTGGGCCGTCTGGGGCTCCGCGGGCCCTGGGACCGTCAAGGGTCGGATCGGAAGAAGAAGGCAAAGTTGGCCCTGGAGACAGGACTGGGGCTTCCGGGGACCCCGCAGTGAAAAGAGAAATCTCGGATGTCTGGGGACCAGCGTTCCAGAATGCCCTCAGAGCGTTCTGGAGCGCTCTGGAACAGCCGCGGAGCCCGATGCATCCTGCAGAACCGCCAGGTCTCAGAGATCCCCGACTTCTCCTGGTCAGATTTTGTCCTGGTTCTGATTTCTTACTCCAGCTGTCCTCCAGACCCCAGGCTCGATGCCCTTGTTCAGGGCTGCTCGTCCATCGAACGAGCTGCGGCGTGGGCTGCACGGTTGGGAGCCAGCGTCCCGTCGGCAGGCCTCGCTCGCCGCCGCCGTCGCTGACCATCCTTGCCCGTCTGTGTCCGTCGGCGCGCGGCCCTTGGATCGGCGACCAAGGTCTTCGTGGAGAGTCCCGCCCTCTTACGGCGAGGAGCTCTGGCAGCTGCTTGGTGGACGAAGGGCCCACCATTTTTCTGCACTCGATTGCCGCCTGCTTCTTGCTGCAGCTTTCTATCTGGTCGCTGTCTCTGTCCGCCTCTCTTCTGTTTCGCTCCATTCCTGCTTCCCCGTCCCCGTGCGGTCGTCTTCGCTGGCGGGTGTGCTTGCAAGCAAGCGAGCGGGCGGATCCCAACGTTTGGGTCGGGCGAACGGACACGAACGGGCGGGTGGGGCGGCGGGACAACAAAGCGATCGGGCAGACGGTTGGCGAAAACGACCGAGCGAGGACGACGGGGCGAAGTCGACCCGGCGAAAGCATCTGCCGGCGACGACGACCGCGCCGAAGATGATTAATCGAAGTCGACCAGGCGAAGACGATTCGGCGAAGACTGACGGGCGAAAACGCCCGCGGCGAAGACAATTGCTGGCGAAGACGACTTGCCCCCCCCATCCCTATCCCTCCCCCGCCCTCCATTCCTCTCCGCTCCTCGTCATGCACCCGTCTTCCGCTGCCCTTCCACCCTCTCCCTTCCCCGCCCCCCACCCCTCCACTTCTCTCTCTCTCTCTCCCTCCCCGCCCTTCCCTTTTTCCCCAAACAGTGTTTGCACTCAGGGGACCTCACTCGGCTTTGATGAACTGGGCTGGTGTGTCGCCCTGACCTGCTTGCCGTCGCCCCGTCGCCGCCTCGCCGCCGCCCGTCGCCGCTGCCTCGTCGCCGCATTGCATTGCAATCGTAGCGCAATCGCATAGCATTGCAATCGCATGGCGGTCGCATTGCATTGCATTGCAATCGCGTGCATTGGTTTGCAGCAGTTTGCATTGATTCGCAGTGTTTTGCATTGCTTTGCATTGCACCACATGTCTCATACCACATAGCTTCCATTGAATAATTTGCACCATTTAGAATACACAACACATCTTACACCACATTGATCGCACCACGCGAATTGCACCATATCAATTGCACTACATAGTTCACGCCCCGTAGATTGGACAGCATGTGTTGCATCACATAACTTTCATCGAATTGCCCACACCACCTAGATGAGTAAGTGGCATCCTCATACGCAGATTTCACCACATATCTTACACCAAGTAGCTCATTCCACAGATGTTGCACTGCATACATCCTGCACAACTTGGACTGCACTACATGGCCCACACCATATAGATCGCACCACATGGATTGCACCACTTGGATTGCACTACATAGCGTATACCACAAAGATCGCACCAAATAGCTTGCATCACGTAGCTTGCACCACATAATTTACACAACTTAGCTTGCACCACAGCGCTTGCACCACATAGCTTGCAACACATAGCTTGCACCACATAGATTGCATCACCTAGCATGCTAGAAACCACTGTGTGGGGTCCACGCTGGCTAGCATCATGTTTGCTTAAGCCTATCCTTACCTGGCAGCACCCTCTCCCTTCCCACCCTCGACATCCGCCCACCCCCCCCTCCCATTCCGTCAACCCTCCCATCTCTCGGTCACTCCATCTTCGTCCTCCTCGCCCTCGTGCTCCCGCCTCATCAACAGCATCATTATATGCCTCCTCGTCCTCGTCATCCTCTTGCCCATCGTCCTCCTGCCGACCATCATGGTCCTAGTCCTTATCAGTGTCTTCATATTGCTCGCTCTTGTTTGTCCTCTATGCTCGTCCTCTGCTTCCACCTGCTCCTACTGGTGCTGATGCTGCCATTAGTTGAAATTATCCACCTCGTCCTGCACAGCACAATCACCATGTCATCATCACCATAATTTAGGGTAGCCCTGATCGAGCCCGCGACCGTGCGAATACCAGTATGGCCGCTATGTCTCGTGCTACTCGTAAAGCCCGTGCCTTCAATCAACTGCTGATCCACCATCATCTTTGGGGACATCATGATAACGAACGTCCGGCTGCTGCCAGAGAGAGGGAGTTTATGGAGTCCTAGACGTGTGTTTCTTTGATGCGCAAGTTCCGCTCCCGGACCTAATTGTGCCCACAGTTGAACGAGGCAAGGTCCGATTCCCAGCGCGTGATGTATGCTAAGCTGACTGAATTGATGGTCAGCCCGTGTGTTATCACGTCGCGTTGTTCATCTCCCTTTACACAACTCACACACACACACACACTTGATAAGATCAAGAGAATTTCACTGACATATTCAGGAAAAGACATGTGTTAGAATGTGTTGTGATATGCGTTGAAGTAGTTGTCGAAGATGTTTATGGCGCACTGCAAGGAGCCGCTGGCGATGACCGAGAAATGTAAAAATGAGCACTTCGATCTGCAAAAGCATAGATGTACACTGGAGGTACGTTTTCATATTCGTGTGCGTGATGGTCGTCGTTGGCGATCGCCCCACATGCCAATCGCTGGCCCCCTCCAGTCCTACACTCGTGTGAGAAGAGCCCCTTAGACACAGGGGTTGCCCCGGGCATGGGGCCTAGAAGCCCCATGCAGCTCGCAGAACACGGAACTGACTGGCGCACGGGGCTTCGGTTGAGACGAACCCAGTTGGGAACCACATCTGGCCTACTGCGCTAGTATAGCCACCACCCTACGTCAGCGTGCCAGCATCCCGCCTTTTCATTACTCGGACGCAACCTGCAAGCGAAAGGTGCAAAAGGACCCCTGGAACGGCTCCTGCATATCCGACGGGAGCTTGGCCTCGAAGACAGAGGGCACGCGGAAGTCCAGGAGGAGGAGAAAGAGGAGGAGAAGGGATGGGGTTCTTCAGGCTTCGAATCGGGAGCGCCGATTCGCGTTGTGATATTGCTGGCAATTCTCTCGTTATTAGGCGCTTCCAAAAGGGCCGCGCTACACCTAGCGACGACATGTCACCCAGGGCACAGCAGAAGCCGAACCCGACAGAACAAGACGCCGATAGAGGTTTCACAACGTACGCCCAATTGGATACCGTCGGAGAAGAAGAAGGTGAACATGTCCACGACGCAGTCGACACTGATGAGAGCAGTTGCAGGGGCAACAAGCAAGGAGACCAAATGAACGGACAGGCGGAGCGGGAGGGAGAGGTTGGTTCACGACCACAGCCCTACAGCGCGAGTCGGCATCTGGCCCCCGCATCGTTGAAGGCAGCTTGAACCTAGATGCTGACAACCAAGGCAGCCCAGCTGCCACTGGGAGACGGGCGACGGGGGGAGCGGGAGAAGGAGGGGGCAAAAAGCAGGGTAGGGGGCGTAGAAACAAGGCAGCCTGTAAATCTATGTTTGCGCCGAATTTTCGCTGCCTGTAGAAAAACGTAGAATTTTGCGTGAATGCAGCGTCGACGGCGGCTTGTGTCAGGGCGAGGGCGCTGGCGATGGCGGGAGGGAGGAGGAGAAGGAGAGGGAGAGGGGAGGGAGGAGGGAAAAGGGAGAGAGGAGGGAGGAGGAAGAGACCCGTTGACTCCTACCCGTTGGGTACATTCTACGCCGCGCTCCTCCCTTCTGCTAGCGTCTCCGACCTATAGGCCCTACGGGCCTTCGCAGCCAGAGAGGCCTCACGGATAGCGCCTGCAGGCGCCGCCCTCGGGGTGCACGGATGCTTGTGGCCAGGGAAGGCTTGTACGCGTGGACGGCCTGTGGGCGTGCCTGCAGGCCGCGGGGGGGAGGAGTGCCCTTGGGCGGGGACGGCCTGCAGGCGTGCCTGGAGGCAGAAGGGGAGGGGGCGCTTAGGGGCAGGGAGGGCCTGCAGGCGTGCCTGCAGGCACCCAGGGAGGCCAGAGGCGGGAAGGGGGGCGCGCCTTCGCCCGTCGACTGCCGGGGGGCGGCGCAGAGTGCAAGGCCGCCGGCGCGGGCAGAGGGCGCAGGCGACCACGCAGGCGGGGCCGTCCGCGAGGCCGCAGGCGAGGGCACCGGCGATGGCGCAGGCGATGGCGGCGGGCCAGGGCGAGGGCGCGGGCAACAGCGGGGGCGAAGGCGCAGGGAGAGCCGCCGGCGAGGGCGCAGGCGAGCGCGAGGGCGGCGGCGAAGGCGACGACGTCGGCGAGTCCGCACGCGGCGGCGGGCAGTGCGGGAAGGGGGAGGCGGAGGAGTCGAGAGCAGGGGTGCGAGGGCAGCGCGCGCGCCTTCGCCCGGTCGTCGACCGCCCGGGCCGCTTGCTGCGCTTCAGCGGCACTAGCTACACCAGCGACGTTAGCGAGGCAGGAGGAGGGCTGCGAGGGTCGGCGAAGAGGGGAAGGCCCGGTGGAGGGCAAGGGGAGGGAAGGCCAAGCGGGCGACAGGACGCCAAAAAGCGGGTTGCGATCGCAAGAAAAATTCGAATTCAATTTCGCACCGCTGAGTTTGTAGGCAATTGTTAGATTTGTTATGGGGCGATTCACTAACATTCGTGGGAATAGCGAAAGAAACCCCAGGCATGTGCCGAAGCACGTGCCGACACATTTGATGAGGCCGAGAGACCTTCCCTGACATGTTCAGGAAAATACAACCGCTAGATTGCGTTATGAGGTGCGTTGAGGTAGTTGTCGAAGGTACCCATGCATGACGCACTGGAAGGAGCCGTTGGCGATGACCAAGAGACGCAAAAATTGGAATTTAGATCTGCACCAGCACAGCGGTACACTGGAGGTACGTTTTCATATTGACGTATGGGGGGTCTTCGCTGGCCAGCGGCCCATATGCCAATCGCTGGCCCCCATCCAGTCCTACACTCGCGTGAGAAGAGCCCCTTGCACACACACACACACACACACACACCTACACACACACTTTGCGTCGTCGGCTGCACCTACACACACACACACTTTGCGTCGTCGGCTGGGCAGAATGACCGCGCTGGCGGAAGAGGCACAGCGTGGCAAACGGTACGCGAATTCGGCCACCATGCAAGGGGAGGAGGAGGAGGAGGAGGAGGAGGAGGAGGAGGAGGCGCCCGGCGACGGCGGGGAGGAGGGGGAGAAGCCGGGCCCGCTCACAGCAGGGTCAGGCGCGTGGCAGGGGCGGCGCCGGGGGGGGGGGAGCCAGCGGCGGCGGGCCGTCAGCCGGCGGGGGAGCCAGGGGCAGCTGCGGGGCAGCGTGCCGTGGCGGAGAGCAGGGTACCCAGGCCAGGGGAGCTGGTGAATGAAGGCGAACGCGAGCAGGAAACGCCGGACTCCCCAAGGGAGGGGACGGCGGCCCGCGGCGACGGGCGGAGCGAGAAAGCAAGGCTCATGATACAGCCGGCGACGTAGAAGTAGAGCAGTGAGTGCAAGACCACACCCTTGGGAGGGAGAGGGGCCTGAGACAATACGTACCAGTTTGAACCTCTGTCCCTTCCTCGGTGTGAGTTTAGTGCGCGGCGTGAAGAAAGCCTGGCCGACGACAGCCAGATTCAGGCAAGGAACCCAGTGCTGCAGGCTTTGGTTGCGTAGCGCTGAGAGGAAATCATGTGTTGCATTACTTTGAGTGTCTGCTCGTCGTCCCTCTTCTTGATGATATGTTCCCATGCCCCCTCACCTTTTCTGCAGCTTGGCACGGCTGCCTCATTGTGCACGACATTCTGCCCCCGTCGGTGCACACCCTCAGGGCCGAGTGAGCCTTTGGTTCAGGGGGGCTGGAAGGCCCTGTGCGTAACCCGAGCCTGCACGATTGCAAAAACGCTATATGCAATCCGAGAGGCTCTCATAAGGAAGCTAAAGCGGAAGGGGAGGTCTTGCGGTGATCATAAGTTCTCGCAGTGATCGCAACGAAGTTGAGCCGAAACAGTGGCCAGCGGGTTTGATGTGTTTTTGTCAACCTGCTTAGAAGGACACGATGAAACGGCTCGCAAGAGGCTGTTTCTCTGGCGCCGCCCGAGTCGCCCCGTGTTTGGGATTGCGTGCATAGTCATCAGCATGCGTGCCCGAGCCCAAGCCCGCGCGATTGCAAAGAGGCAAGATGCACTCCGAGAGGCTCTCACAAGGAGCCAGGTGGGAAGGCCTTATCAGAATCACCACCATCGTCCTAATCATAAACGCCACCGTAAGCATCATCGTCATCACCATTGCCCTCCCAACATCATCACGATCTTCCTCTTCCGACTCCTCGTCGTCATCTTGGTATCATGCTTATTCCTCCTCATCATCAGCATCACCATCTGCCAGTTTCTCGTGTTTGTGCAATCCTGCTCGTCAGTGTCCTCCTCCTCCTCCGCTATGGTTCTCCGTCTGCTTATCCTCCTACCACTCATCCGCTTCCTCCCCTCAGCTTGATCGTCCGCCTTCCTCTCCTGATCATCCGCCTCCTCCCACTCCGTTTCCTCGTTCCTCGTCTTCCTGTTCGTCAGCGTGGTCATCTCCCTCCACCTGCTTCTCGGCCAACCGAGCGCTCAACACCCCTCGTGCTACCCCCTCGTCTGCACATGTTGCGGTCTCAGGCGGCCAGCGAGCCGCGGCGCCACGGACGCCAAAGCCAACGAGGCCCAGGCGCCCACCATGAAAATCTGCCGTGCGCCCCCACCTGAGGGGCCCCATCACCCCCAGCACCACGTATGGCCTGTCCCCTGGCTCAGCCCAGCCTATCTGCGGCTTCCTCCTCCTCCTCCTCCTCCTCCTCCTCCTCCTCCTCCTCCTCCTCCTCCTTCGCTCCAAGCACAGGGCGCCAGTCACTTCCCACATTCCCGTCTGGGTCGCGCCTCATGGCGACGAGACGCAGGACGAGGTCCTGTTGGGCATCGGGCCCACATCAGTTCGAATACTGTAAACTCGCGTTCTGGTGCCAGCGCGTTGGCCCTCGTGGCTGGCCGCGCCTCGCCTCCACGGTCAAGAGGTCCTTCCCAGTAAATTGCCAGGCATAGATCTCAGCGGGCAGCGCAGGCAACGCCTCGTGTTATCGTTCGCTTGTCGATACCTGAGATGGTACACGCACTGCGACCTCTCCACCAGCATCATTCGGCAACGGCCGAGCCGTGATTATGTTCCTGCTGTGTCGCGCCCAACTTCATGGAGCGCAGAGTGTGCCGATCTTGAGGCACGGAAAGGTGGGATCATGATTTTCGATTCAATCCTTGGGCAAAGAATGCACAAACAGGCAGCCAGGGCCGCCTATGATGCGATGTTATGCGATTCGGTTCGGCGGTTGGGGCCGCGATTTCGATTCGCTTCAATATGATTCAGAGGGATCGGCCAGGGCACGCCTGGGCCAGGCGCGGCGATCCGGTTTCGAGTCAGTTCGACACGAGTCGCAGGCGATCCGATCCGATCCGATTTCGCGGTTCAAGATCAAGCCTGACAGCCTTGCTCCACGTGGCCGCACTGACAGGGGCATTGGCAAGGAGCAAGACGCGTCGGCAAAGTCCGACGGCCGTCTAGATAGCCAACGTCCGGGGGCTCGCAGATCACGCCCGCGCATTCAGTCGCCTTCGGGATCTTCTGCAGACGGGGTCGAAACGAATCACGACCAGGAGCCAGTCCAGGAGATCAAACAGCATTGCCATCAGGCGCGAGCTTCCTTGGGGGGCTTGAAGAAGGCACCACAACTACCCTCAGGAAGGCGTTCACCGCTGATTTTTCGAAATGAGTTTCGGAATCTCTCCAGCACCATCGAAATGAAGAAGCGGTCTGGCGAGACAGCGAAAGAGGAGAGGCAGTGGCGCGCGGCCGCCCTGCAGCGATCCGAAGCGAAGCTGGCTCACATCCTCGCCACGGCCGCCAAGGCCCGAGTCTAGCTGGAGAGGATGCGACGGCCGAAGAGTGGGCCGAGAGGGGGCTCCGGCCACACCGGCACATGCCGTCCAGTCCGCGGCTTGTCGTGCAACATTGGCTCAGTTCCTCCCCCGTCCCCCCCTCCCCCTCCTCCATCTCCTCCCGCCCCCCCTGCTTGGATAGCAGGGGCCCCGTCAACGACTCGGGATTAGCCAGGGCACCCCCCGCTGGTGAAATCAGCGGGGCGGTCGGTGCCGGCTGGAGGTCGGGATATAAAACCAGTAGCGGCCACTGGGCGGAGGCCGTGGGCGACCGACCCAAGGACCAGCGGAGGCGGGGCCCTTTTTCAGGGCGTGGGGTGCGTCCCCACAGGGGAGAGGGGTAGGCCGCGGGGGGGCTGTGCCCCTCCCTTCCTCCTTCCTCCGGGTTCTCCTCTCCCCCCCCCTCTTCCCACTCCTCCCCTCCCCCCAGTCAGTCCCACTGCGGCCCACTCCCCCGCCGCGGCTGGGGCTGGAGGCCCCCGCGGCGGTGGCCAGTGCTCTGGAGAGCGCGGAGCGCCAAAGCCGCCGCCGCAGGGGGAGCGCGGAGCGCAGTGGTTGATGTTTCAGCTGCGCCGTTTCGCATGAGGCCCCCCCAAAAATTCAGGGGGGGGCCTCGATTTTGACCAAAGCCGACCTCCATCGCCTAGGGACGGCCTGGATTGAGTGAGGCTTCAATCGCCGCCGCGACGTCAGTTTAACAGTTAACAGTGCCCTCTTAACTTTGGCGAACGTCATTCTTTTTAGTGCCTTGACGAGTGTACTCGATCACAGGAGGGGCGTCGCGCTGCTCTTCGCACCCCCAGGGAGGCCATCCATCGGGCTCCTGGGCCCTTCCCAGGCGTTCCCCCCATGGGGTTGGAAGCTTTCGCGCCGACCGAGCAGGCGCCCGCGCGGGCTCGTGCCCTTGTCGACGGGGAGGGGGACAGGAGGGGGGGGCGGGCAATGATGAGGTGGGCGACCACGACGAGCCATCGAGGCAGGCGGAGCAAGGCGAGTAGAGTGGAAGAGAAGAGATGAACATATGTTAGCCAGTGTGGACCCAACATGCTGTGTTCTTGGCAACATACGCTGTACCATTTATGTGGAGCAGTCTACGTGGTGCAATCTATGTTGTGCAATAGGTATTTTTACAAAACAGTTGACAGTTTCCACGCTCTTACAAACATCCCACCCACCCACTCGCTCGTTGGTTTGCGCGGCGATTGCGATGAGTTATTGGCGCTGGCTGGTGCATCTCTGCGGCCGCGCTAGCCCGCGCATGCTCGCGCGCAGACTGGCCAGCTAGTTCGGCGCGACCGACGCGGCCGCGATGACGCTGACCGCTGGAAACATCCCAGTGGGCATTTCAGTGCGAGTCAGAATTTGGCGGGCGCGGTACCATGGCGACGCCGACAACGGTAGACACGATTATGAGAGAAGCGATGACGATGACGATGGTGACGATGACGACGACAAAGCCAGCCGATGTTGACCACGCCCGCCGGTCACGATGACGATGTCTTCGCGTCGACGATGAAGGTTTTGTGAAGTAGTTCGACGCGCACGCGCGGCCGACACGCGCGAGTGGCCCGCGTGGTATTATTTGACACGGATCGCGCTCCCCCCCAGCACGCGCGCAAGGGCGTTCGAATTAGTTCGATATGCGGCGCGAGAGGCCCGTTCGGCAAAATGTAATGAACATGTTTAAACAAAAATGCTGCATTCATACAAAAAGAACCCGCAAGAACTCGAGCGCTTGTTGTTTTTTTTTTAAAAAAAAAATTGCGTTTGCAGCAAGACCATGTGTATGTCCCAACCATCCTGTGGTGTTGGGTCCTCGTTTTGACGATACAGCGTCCCGCGTTTTCCTCCTTTTTTCTTTCGTTCCTCTTCCCCCTCCTCCTCCCCCCCTCCCTCTTCTCATCATCAGCATTATCACCCGCATCACCAGCATCATCGTCATCATCACCATCATCGCGATCATCATCGCCGTTATCGTCATCACCATCGACACCAATTTCCGCACACCCTTCATACGCTTCGTGGCCCCATAGAGAGCTCCACCGAAGGCCCCACCCAGTGCCACCGTCCACATGCGCCCCCCACACCCATGTCGGCACACCCCTCACACGTTTCGTGGTTCCATACGGAGTTCCACCGAAAGCCCCAGCGCCACCGTCCACATGCGTCTCTCACACATATCCCAGCACACTCCTCACACGCTTCGTTGCCCCATAGAGAGCTCCACCGAAGGCCCCAGTGCCACCGTCCACATGCGTCCCCCACACTCATGTCGGCACACTCCTCACACGCTTCGTGGCCCCATAGGGAGCTCCACCGAAAAATAGGTTGCACTACAATGTGTTTGTAGATGTGTTCGGGACATTTGATTTTGAAAACCCTCCAGAACACAATGTTGTTGAGTGATTATGACATGCGCTCGCGATGACGCGCGCGTGTGCGCTTGGTTCCATTGGTTGCAAGGGGTTATGGCGAGCTGATGATGTTCGATAAACGGGTGTGCTCGCACAGGGTTTTTCGAAAAGAAATGACGAAGCCAATCGATATTGGCTTGGCTGTGATGGTCTGCATTCATATTTCGATTAAACGATGGGGCAGACTCAGGTGTAAATTGCACACCCCCACAAGGAGGGGATAATCCTTCCTCTGGGGGTGGTTGTAGAGCCGAATTCATTTCTAGAAGGGAGAATCTACTTGGCGCATCCATCGTAGTGTCATTTATGTTGTGCGGCGATATCCGAGGTGCGAAATCTACGCGGTGCAACAAATGTGGTGAAATTCGCCCTGCCGAACTTGGCCTTGACAATTTCACGGCTCGCGCAATCATCCCACCCACCCACCCGCTACTCGGCTTGCAAGACCCGTGCGGCGGCGATTGCGATGGCTGCTCGGCGCTCGTTGGCGCATCGCTGCGGCCGCGCTAGCGCGCGAAGGCTAGCGTGCAGAGCGGCCAGGTAGTCTGGCGCGGCCGACGCGGCCGTGGTGACGCTCAGCGTTGGGCACTCCCCAGCGCTCTTCGCAGGCCGAGCTGACGCGCGGGCAGTTCACTGCGAGTCGATGGCTCGGGCGGGCGTGGTATCATGGCGACGCCGACAATGCCAGACACCACGAGGATGATATTAGCAATGTTGGTGACGACGATGGCGATGACGACGGCAAGGCCACTGACGGCGCCGATGTTGATCACGCCGATGACGATGACGGTGCCCACGTGTCGGTGATGAAGGTTTCCGAAAGATTTCGACGTGCGCGCACGGCCGACGGGCGCGAGTGGCCCGCATGGTACTCTTTGATAGGGATCGTGTTCCCCCGAGCACGCACGCAAGGGCGTTCGAATGATGTCAACATGCGCGCGCGAGGGGCCCGTTGCTTACCATGTTGAAAAGCCATGGTTTCTTAAGAATTCGCAAGGATTTGAGCGCAGACCCTTCTTGAAAAAACAGGTTGCGAAACCATGTGTTGTTGTTTGTTTTCGGACTCCTGGGTTTTGAAACCGGTACGAAACTTAAATTGTTTGACGGACTTTGGCGTGCGCGCGCAACGACGCGCGCGTGCACATTGAGCCCCAATATTTGCAACAGGTGTTTTGCCAATTGATGCCGCTTGATAAACGCGCGCGCGCATGGTAGGATTTGATAGCGATGACGGGGCCAATCGACACCGGCCTGGCCGGGATGGTATGAGTTTGTATTTTGAATGAACGATGGGGCAGAGTCATTTGTAAGCTGCACACCCCCAGGGGAGATCATCCTGGCTTGAGGGGGCGGTGGATCCTAATTCTTTTTGAGAAAAGAGAACTGGTGTGGTGCAATGAATGCAGCGTGGTGTAATCTATGTTGCGCAATGTACGTGAAGCGGCGACGGGGCCGCGACGGCTGAAACAAGCGCGGCGACCGACAGGCAGGCCCAGACGACGGGCGGCGACGAGACGACAACGGGGCTGCGACGGGGCCGCAGCAAACACGGCGACCGACAGACAGACCCAGACGACGGGCGGCGGGGGGGCGAGGGGGCGGCGACGGCGGCAACAAATTGGTGAACGACAGACAGGCCCAGACGGCGGGCGGCGACGGGGCGGTGACGGCGGCAACTTAGACGCCTGACCGACATACAGGCCCAGTTCCTTCGTAACAAGACCCCCTAAGTGCAAGCACTATTTTGGGAATGAGCATGCCGAGGCGGACGAAAAGGAGGAGTGGGGAGGTGAGAAATGATTAAGAGGACGTGGACAGGAAGGGGAAGAATGGGCATGGGGCAGGTTTCCCACGCTTGGCTTGCGACAGGTGTTACAGCATTGGGTTGTTTCTCGCCTCTGTTAGACGGTCCGTGCGTTTCATGTGGCGGTCTAGCAAGTCCCAGCCCCCCTTCTGATGACAAACTAAATCCCCGTGACAATCTTGGAACGGCTGAAACATGGCACACACTCACACACCGTAGACATCCATGGTGGCACGATGTTGCTCGGCCTGCCAAAAGCACGGGCGACACGGGACGCGTGTATGCCCCGATGCTTTGCACGGTGCCGAACGATGGCCTCGCCACACCAAGCCGCAGCATAGTGCGGTGGCGGCGGATCGTACTCACGAATGGGTGCGGCCCCCGTTGGTAATTACTATTCGGGGACAGTTTGAAACAACAGCACAGCGTTGCATGGTTGCAGTGGCAGGAAGACAGGTGGCAGAGAAAGGAGGAGGACTAGGTCGTCGATCTTCGGATTACGCTGCCCTCAACTAGCAGGCCCGTAGGAGGTGAAAAGTGAATTGGGAGGACGACGACGACTTCAACGAGTTGTCGATTATGTTGACAAGTGGCGACGACGATGATAAAAGCAAGGCTCATCCCAGTGCGACCCTACCTAGGAGTTGGAGCATCTAGGAAAGCAACATCTACATCTACACCGACAGCTACATTAACATATACACCTGCATCTGCGCTATGGTACGCTAGGCTATGCTATGATGTGATATGCTGCGCTATGATATGCTATGCTATGCGATGCTGCGCTATGCTATGCTATAATATGATATGGTATGCTATGCTGTGCTATGATATGCTATGCTGCGATGTGCTATGCTAAGCTATGATATGATATGATATGCTATGATATGCTGCGCTATGCTATGATATGATATGCTGAGCTATGCTATGCTATGCTATGTTTGGCTATGCTATGCTATGCTATGATATGGTGTGCTAATGCGGCGCTGCGCTATGCTGCGATAAGCTAAGGTAAGCTAAGCTATGCTAAGCAAAGCTAAGCTAAGCTAGGCTAGGCTAGGTTAAGCCAAGCTAAGCTAAGCTAAGCTAAGCCAAGCTCTGCTAAGCTAAGCTAACCCTAGCTAAGCTAAGCTAAGCTAAGCTAAGCTAGACAACGCTAAGCTAAGTTAAGCGAAGATGAGATAAGCTAAGCTTAGCTTAGCTTAGTTTAGCTTAGCTAAGCTGGGTGAACCCAGGGGGCGCAACTGGGGAACCGCGGGGCGGATACTGGGGGAACCGCCCGGGGCGGGTTACACTGCCTGGCCCCTTTAAGCCTCAGAGTAAGAACCCTTCTAGGCAGAGCCCAGGTAGGGAACAACGATGACGACGATATCGACGATATCGACGACAACGATGCCGACCCCGACGATTTCGACGACGACGACGACTTCGACGATTTTGACGACGAGGGCGACTTGGACGATTCCGACGACGAAAACGACAGCGACGACGTCGTCGACGATGACGACGACCCTCCTCGATCCCCCTCGCGATCCCCAACCATGGGCTTCGGAGCTACACATGGCCTCACACACACCGGGGCTGTCAGGGTCGTTCACCTTGCTTTCGTGGATTGCTGATCCGATCCGATCCTCGATCCCCCCGTCGACCCTCGACGATGACGGCGACAGTCGGGCGGGCAATGAGGGCTGACCTGAAAGGGGGCCCTGAAAGGGGCCCTTTACGGCCCCTTTTGGGTGGCCCTTTACGGCCCTGAAAGGGGCCCTTTACGGCAGTCGGGTGGAGACCAGGGCCCTGAAAGGGGGCCCTTTACGGCCCCTTTTGGAGCCAGCAGGGGCCCAAGAAGGGGCCCTCCAGGGCCCCTTTAGGGTCTTTCTCTTTTCCCCCCGTTCAGGCCCCCCCCCCCCCCCACACTGCCACCCGCCCGACACAGACAGACCGACAGACCGCAGGCCCGCGGCGCTGGGTCCCGCGGCGCGGCCGCGGGCGGCCGCGACGAGGGGCGGCGGCGGGAGCCGCAGGGCCCATCACGGCGAGGCGCAGCCCGGGCCCACCCGCCTGCCTCCTCCTCCTCCTCCTCCTCCTCCTCCTCCTCCTCCTCCTCCTCCTCCTCTTCCTTCTGCGCCTCCTCCTCGTCCCCTCCTCCTTTTGCGCCTCCTCATTCTGCGCCTCCTCCTCCTTCTGCTCCTCCTCCTCCTCCTCCTCCTCCTCCTCCTCCTCCCCCTCCTCCTACTCATCATCATCATCATCATCATCATCATCATCATCATCATCATCATCATCATCATCATCATCATCATCATCAGCATCAGCATCAGCATCAGCATCAGCATCAGCATCAGCATCAGCATCAGCAGCATCTTCCTCCTTCGACATCCTCCTCCTCGTCATCAGCATCAACATCCTCATCATCATCAGCAGCAGCATCCTCAACAGCATCAGCATCATCATCGTCACCAGCATCACCATCATCATCATCATCGGCATCCGCATCATCATCATAATCATCAGCAACAGCAGCATCATCATCATCATTATCATCATCATAATCATAATCAGCATCATCATCATAATCAGCATCATCATCATCATCATCATCAACATCATCAACATCATCATCATCATCATCATCATCATCATCATCATCATCATCATCATCATCATCATCATTAGCTGCATCATCATGCATCATCATCCTTGTCCTCGTCATCATCCTCCTCCTCGTCCTCCGCCGCCTTCCCCTCCGCCTCCTTCCCCTCATCATCATCATCATCCTCCTCCTCCGTCTCCTCCTCCTCCTCCTCCTCCTCCTCGTCCTCGTCCTCTTCCTCGTCCTCCTCCGCATCCTCCTCCTCGTCCTCCTCCTCCTCCTCCTCCTCACCTCTCGTCATCCTCCTCCTCCTCCTGCTCATCCTCCTCCTCTTCCTCCTCCTCTTCCTCCTCCTCTTCCTCCTCCTTGTCAGCATCGTCGTTCTCCTCCTCCTCCTCCCCAGTAGATTTCTCTTTATCCGCCTCCCCCTCCTCCTCCTCCCCCTTCTCCCCCTCCTCATTAGCATCATCAGCATCAGCATCATCAGCAGCAGCAGCATTCGTCCTCGTCCTCCACTTCCTCCTCCTTCTGCGCCTCCTCCTCCTCCTCTTTCTGCGCCTCCTCCTTCTGCGCCTCCTCCTCCTCCTCCTCCTTCGTCATCCCCCTCCTCGTCATCAGCATCAACATCCTCATCATCAGCAGCAGCAGCATCCTCAACAGAACCGCATCAGCATCATCATCGTCACCAGTATCACCATCATCATCGGCATCCGCATCATCATCCGAATCATCAGCAGCATCATCATCATCATCATCATCATCATCATCATCATCATCATCATCATCATCATCATCATCATCATCATCATCATCATCATCATCATTAGCGGCATCAGCATGCATCATCATCCTTGTCCTCGTCATCATATTCCTCCTCGTCCTCCTCCTCCTTCCCCTCCGCCTCCTTCCCCTCACCATCATCCTCATAATCATCCATATCCTCCTCCTCCGTCTCCTCCTCCTCCTCCTCCTCGTCCTCGTCATCTTCCTCGTCCTCCTCTTCTTCCTCCTCCTCCGCCTCCTCCTCCTCCTCGTCCTCCTCCTCCTCCTCTCCCTCCCGTCTCGTTATCCTCGTCATCCTGCTCATCCTCCTCCTCCTCCTCCGCTTCCTCCTCCTCATCATCATCGTCGGTCTCCTCCTCCTCATCCCCATATATGTCTCTGTCTCCGTCTCCCCCTCCTCGTCCTCCTCCTCCTCTTCTTCCTCATCCGTATCATCATCATCATCCGCCCTCCTCCTCCTCCTCATCCTCCTCCTCCTCATCCTCCCCCGCATCATCATCATCATCGTCAGCATCATCATCAGCAGCAGCATATTTCGTCGTCTTTCTCATCAGCATCAACAGCAACAGCCTCATCATCTCCAGCAGCATCATCCGCAGCAGCATCAGCATCATCGTCATCCGCATCAGCATCATCATCGGCATCAGCATCAGCATCATCCTCATCAACAGCATCCCCATCAGCATCATGCTCATCATCAGCGACATGATCGCACGCATTCATAATAATCATTATCCTCCTCATAATCATCCTCCTCGTCCGCCGCCTCATCCTGCTCCTCATCAGCCTCCTCCTCCTCCTCATCCTCCGCGTCACTCCATTTTGGCTCAAGTCATTTTGGCTTGAGCAGGCAACGGTGAGGCGGCTCGTCCGTAACCTTTCTTCCCAGGAGCTCCTTTTCAGGCTGCTAGCTCCGCCACCTCTCGCAGCCTCTCTCACCGTTTTACACTTTGGCGATCCTTGCTGCTCGTGTCTCGGTCTTTGCGTCGGCACCTCTGTCTGCTGGACTACGGAGGAGTGCCTATGGCCAGGCGAGCAATCAAGGAGCTCTACAGCGAGTTGGGACTGCTGCGCCAGGAGCTCTCAGTCCTCCAGCAACAGATCCGATCGTCTACACGGGCGAGGCTTGTACTGGACGCGCTGGTCCCAGAAAAGACGGGACAGGAAGAGAAACAAACTTTCACCCTCCCGGTCACGGAGGCCGTCAAGAATATGGCTGCCGCCGCCGACAAAGTGGAGGTGAAGAATTCCTACAGTCGAGGTGAACCGCTACTTCACGGAGCCTGTCATCACCGAGACCCCCGCCGCCCTCGTCGGCCTGGTCGAGAACCTCCACGGGGAGTTCCACGGCGACTTGATGAAGGCCGCGCCAGTCGAAGAACAGAAGTCACAATGTAACGGGGAGGACCATGAGGAGCTGATCGAGGAGATCCTGGTGGACCCGTTTCCAGACATGGGTACGTACCTGGTGGCGGCGCCCGCCCAAGCTGCTGCAGGAACTCCGCCTTCTGCCGCTCCGACCACTACTACGTCAGATCAGGCGCCTGCGACCGAGCCTGGCACAGATGATACGCAAGCTGATCGATTTCCCCCGGCTTCGGTGCAGAAAGATGCAGTACCTGGACCAGATATCGTGAACTCGGCCGTCACCAACGCGGACCTGGAGATCGCCACCATCGAGGGCACGAAGGTCGTCAACCCAGCCAGGATGGCAGCCGCATCGAACGCCTGGGACGAGCTGCTGGAGCAGGCCGAAGCCAAGAACTTCGGCAAAGTCGCCGACATCATTGGTCAGTACCCCGAGCTGTCTCCACGGATGCTCGTGCTGAAAGAGCACCTCGTTGCCGCTTCGGACACGGTCTTATCGACTTTGCTGGAGGAGGACATGCATCACCAGGAGCAGGTCGCGATCCTCCGTGGACACGCGCTGGCGCTGAGGGAAAGGGCGAGCGCTGCGGTCGAAGATCCCGCACTTCGCAAGGCTGGTGCTGGACAACTTCTTCGTGATATCGAGGACAACCTGATTGAGATCGAGACCGCGAAGCAGGCCACACGCAGGAAGGCGACGATAGTGAAGTTCCGCCGTTCCCTTACCTTTGACATCTTCGACGCGGTCGTCAGCGGCGACAGCGAGACGGTGTACAAGCTGCAGGCCAGACTGAAATCTCTCTAAGGTGCTGAGGCTGCTCGTGCTCGTCGCCGCCCCCCTCCGTGAAGGCGCTGCAGCACGCCCGCAGGCCGCCTGCGCGACTCGTGCACAAAGAAGCCCCCCTCGCACCATCTCTTCTGCTTCTACTTGTTTGTGCATGTCGTGAGCCATCCTGAGGCCACTGTTGCTGCGTGCATTTTCACCTTTTGTGGTCCCCCCGAGTGGCAGGGACAGGCAGTCGTGAAGCGCGGTGCATCCAGTGCCATGTCTCTGAGTTCTGGCTTCCCACTGTTGAATTTAGCCACTTGTCGTGCCTCTGTCTCTGTGCTTCCTGCCCTGTCTTGTCCGCCGTTTTCCCAGCCTGTGCTCTGCTTCCGCTTGCATCGCCCTGTCTGGCTCTTCCTTGCACGGAGAGTCAATTGCATTGCCATCCAGCGGGGGTGTCATCCTCAACGGTCCGCCGATGCTGAGTCGTATCGTATCGTATCCTCCTCGTCCTCGTCCTCCTCCTCGTCCTCGTCCTCCTCCGTCTCCTCCTCCTCCTCCTCCTTCCTCCTCCTCCTCCTCGTCCTCGTCCTCGTCCTCCTCCTCGTCCTCGTCCTCCTCCTGCGCATCCTCATCATCCTCCTCCTCCTCCTCTCCTTCCTCCTCCTCCTTCTCCTCCTCCTCCTCCTCGTCCTCGTCCTCCTCATCCTCCTCCGCCTGCTCCTCGTATCCTCCTCCTCCTCCTCCTCTTCCGCCTCCCTCTCCTCCATCTCCTCTCCTCTTTCTCTTCCTCCTGCTCTTTTCGCTACGCGAAGGCTGTAATTCCTGTATTTCCTCCTCCGCCTCTTCCTCCGCATCCCCTCCTCCTCCTCCTTCTTTTTCTCCTCCTCCTCCTCCTCTTCCTCCTCCTTCTCTTCCTCCTCCTCCTCCTCATCCTCTTCCTCCTCATCCTCCTCCCCCCCCCTCCTGCTCCTCCCCATCCTCCTACTCCGTTTCCTGCCTCGTCATGTTGCTCCTGTTCCTCCCTCGTCTTCCTCAGGCAACACTCCTCGGGACTCTGGCCCAAAGGCTTCAGCCAGGCTGAGCGAGCCTAGAGAAGCAACCCCAAACTCACGCAAGATTCGAGTGATCGGGAGATCATGCCGTGACCATGCAGAGTATCCAGAGTTTCCTTGCATACTCTCGTTTATTCCTCGTTCTCGTCGTCCTCCTTACCATCATCGTCATCATGGTCATCACTATCCTGACCATGATCATCATCACCATCATCATCAGCAGCAGCATCAGCATCAGCATCATCATCATCATCGTAGACAGCATCAACATCAGCATCATCATAGGCAGCATCAGCATCAGCATTATCAGCATCGCCATCGCCATCATCATCAGCATCAGCACCATCATCGTCGTCATCATCACCATCATCGTCGCTATCGGCATCATCCTCATTATCGTCAGCATCAGCATCAGCATCATCAGCAGCAGCATCAGCATCATCATTATCGTCATCAACATCGTCAACATCATCATCATCAGCAGCAGCATCATGATAATCATCAGCATCAGCATCATCATGATCACCACCACCACCACCACCACCACCACCACCATGGTCACCTGGTCACACATTCCTCCTCACATGCTTCCTCTTCCTCCCACGAGCGAGAGCGAGCGCGAAAGGGACGAAGCTCGCCGAAGAGAGCGAAGCAGCACGGACGAGAGGCGAAGGGCAGGGTTTCGTGAAAAGGCGGGAAGGGAGATCGGAGGAGTTGTCTTCCGAATGCTTCGTCTTCATCACCCTCCTCTTCCATTTCGTGCTCCCCACCCTTCTTTCTCCTGCCCGTCACGGCGGGGGGCGGAGGACAGGAGCAGCCGAGCCCCCCCGAGGGGAGAGCGACAGCGACGCCTCCGAGTCGTGCTGCTTCGAGTACCCCGCCGGCACGGGAGGCGCACTCTCTGGGCGCTCTCTCTCTCCTCCTCCGGCAGGCCAGCGGGCGAGCCCGCAGAGTCGGCTGCGGCAGCCGAAGCAGAACAACAGCATCAGCGTATGCCTTCGGAGGTCCGCGCCGATGGATCGGCACCGGGCCTCCTTGCGGCGCCCGCGGCGCGATCGGCGCGCCAGCCTGGCAGGGGGGCCCGGCGCCGATCCAAGAAGTCGGTGCGGAGCTCCGAAAGATTTTGTTGGGAAGGCCAAGCGGCTGGTGCCGCCGACCCTGAAGGGGGACGGCGACGACGATGGCGGCGGCGGCAGCGGCGGCGACGACGGCGCTGACGCTCTGGGGCCTTTCTCGGGGCTCTCTTGGGAGCCTCTTGAGCTCTGTTGGGACTTGGGCTGGGGCCGCGGCTGGGGCCAGGGCCAGGGCCGGGGCCGGGGCCGAGGCCGAGGCTGGGGCCACGGCTCGGCGCGGGGCTCCGAAAGTTGTTGTCTGGATGCCGCTTCTCCTTCCTCGGCCGCCGCGTCGGCAGCGGCAGGCAAGAGCGCGTGCGACGAGAGGTGGGCCGGGCGGGGCTAGGACGAGGCTTAGTCCGTTCCAGGACGTTCCGGAACGCTCTGAGAAGTCCGCGGCGCTCGAGACATCTTCCATAGCCGCCAGATATCAGAGATTCTCGATTTATCTTCACCCGAGTCTATCCTCGCCCTGGCTTCGTCTTAGTGGGGGGGGAGCCACTGTCTCGCTGGCTTGGCAAGCTGGCACCCCCTGAGCTGCATCGCCGCGGCGCCGCACAGGCCTCGGGGCCATGAGGGGAGGAGGAAGAAGAGGAGGAGGACGACGAGGAGGAGGAGGAGGAGGAGGGGGAGGGGAAGGAGGAGGGAATGAATCAGTGAATGATGGCAATTGGCGCTGGCGCTTTAAGGTCTTGAAGGTCTGAGCTGTGGAGGTACGTTGGCACCCCTGCCCACGGCCGTCTTCGTCGGCCGATGGACCGTAGGGAGAGCCTCGGCGAGGAGGCGCCCAAGCCCCCCTTTCGACCGGCATCGAGGTGCGACAGGGAGAAGTTATTCATAAGGAAAGGAATGGAGTAGGAAAAGGAAGAGGAGGAGGAGGGAGGACGACAACGACGAGGAGGCGGAGGGGGCGGAGGAGGAGGAGGACTTAGTTTGGGAGCGCGAGAGATGTTCAAACATAACCCCCAAGCTTCAGCAGGTATCATCGCCAGAGAGCTGAGGACCAGAAGAGGAAATGAGAGGCTGCACATCGAAAAAGCATGTGTTTGCAGCACTGCCCTGTCGTCTGGATTCCGGGTGCAGAAGTTTTGGGACATTTGCCAGGAGACCCGCATCGATGTCGAAGGGGCTCCTCTGTCTCGCACCAGATACCTTGGCATCGCTCGGACGTATGCATGTTGCTCTCGGCGGGGACCATCGAGGAGCATGTTGGGTCGTCTTGCGAAAAACACAGGCACGGCACCGAAAAGTGCACGGGGAATGAGCGTCCGAGCGATGGCAAGATGCAACATTAAGGAGGAGGGAGAGGAGGAGGAGGAGGAGGAGGAGGTGGAGGAGGGAGGGGGTAGGAAAGGGGAGGAGGAGGGAAGAGAAGGAGAAGCTTTCGATCAGGAGCACGGACTCTTGGCAAGTCGGGAGGCCTTGCGTGCCGCTGGCTCGCATGCGCGCGCCTGCACGACCCTTCCCTTCTTTGGCTTCCCCTGGGCAAGCACCAGTCTCCACATCAGTTGCCCTCAGCATTCCCTCCCGATCGTCGTCCTCCTCCCCATCCCCCTGGCACTCCTCATCCTCGTCGTGACCCTTCCCTTGCTGTTTCGCTCGCGCCGTTCCCTTTTCTCTGCGCCGCGCCCAGCATCTTGCTCGCGTCTTATCCCATCTTCTTTGGTGGTTACCTTACGCACGACGAAGTTACGGGAGGCTGCCAGTGCCAACCACACATCGTTCGTTCCTACTCTTCCAGGCTGTCTGGATGGTGATGGCACAGCTGCCACTCCCTCTCTCTCTTTCTCTATCGCTCTCTCTCTCTCTCGCTCTCTCTCTCTCTCTCGCTCTCTCTCTCTCTCTCTCTCTTCCTCACTACCTTTATCATGTACGCAGTCGTGTGATCCATCCTGGAGGGGGCACCAGTGGAAATGAGCAAAATGAGTAGAGGAGGAGGGGAGAAGGAGGAGGGGGAGGGAGAGGCGGAGGAGACGGGGAAGAACAGGATAAAGGATGAACCGAATTAGAAAAGAACGGGGGGTAAGACGTGAGAACGGGAGAGGCGCCGCGTGCTCTTGTTCCCTCTTCCTGCTCCCCCCCCCCCATGTCCCTGCCTTTCGGGCCCCCCACACGCACGGGCATCCTGCCCGCTGCTGTACCGCTTGGTCCGACCTCCCTGCTTTTTCGCTCAGGCGAGGATACGGATGCGTCGGCGAAGCCAGCATCGAACGGTCACTTTGGTCGTCGAGGCCAGCGGCGTCATTCGCGTGGTTCTGCTTGCTGCCTGGATATGGATTGAGATATTTTGTCGTTGCTTGCGCCAGTCCTTACCTCTTCCTCCTCCACACCATCCTCTTCATCCCCCCTCTTTCTGAAGTGCGTCATCGATGCAAGTGTCCACTGCTACATGTGGAAGCAACGGACAAGGCGAGATGCCCATGGTTTCCATCTTTATATGGTCGTTTCGTGAGACATTGCGCCATTGGTGCATGCCAGAAGGCCGTGCCAGCTGATTGCTTTTTGATGTTGAGACTCGCGACCCAGGCATATCAACGCTTTGCCACTGTTGCAGTCATCTTCTTCGGAGGGGGTCCCAACGACACCGTTCAGGTGATGCCAGAACTTGTGTTTTACGACGGCGACGGGAACGCACCATCAACCAGCAAGCAAGCAAGCAAGCCAGACAGTTAGCAGATACTTCAGCCATCAAGATAGTAATAATAGAACAATAGCACAAAACAAAAAAGGGGCGCCGCGCACATGTTCAAGCAAAACTCTGGGCCCGCACCGCGACACTGCGCGACGGTGGTGCGCCAGGCTATCGACGAAGCCCCATTCATCGTACGCATGTTGTTTGTAAAGGCTGCCCGTTTTGCAGAGCAGTATGGCGCAATGCAAAACCGAAGCAGCACGCGTTGATGCTTTACAGCACGCCTACCATTGCTTTCCTTGATTATCTGACCCACTTCTCTCTATTTCTCTCTCTCTCTCTCTCTCGCTCTTTCTCTGTATGTCTCTCTCTCTCTCTGTCTCTCTCCTTCTCCTCCGTCCCCTTCCCCTCTTCCCCCTCGCTCTCCTAACATCCCCCCCTCGTATCCCGCATCTCCCCACTTCTTCCCCTCCCCCTTCCGCCCCCTCCTCCGCCCCCTCCCCCCCAAATCGCATTTTGATGAAGAGGGACGAGGAAGGCGGAGGAATGGAAGGGTGAGGGAGGACGCGGGGCAGGAAGACCAGGGCAAACCCAGCCGACACATACTTGGGGCTCAGGAGGGGCTCAAGTTCTCGGGCCGCTCCTCAGGGTCAAGGGCGTGCAGCCCGTTGAAACGTGCATCCAACGACCTCAGGCAGTCTCGGCCGCATGAGCTTGAGAAGGAGCCGCCCTCCGCGCGTGCGAGGCGCTCTGGGCACCTGAGCCTGACCCTGGCACATCCCAGAGTTCTTCACGATCTGAGGGCGCTCCAGCGGTCTCGCGGCCTTTCCCTTCTTTCCCCTCCTGCCTTCCCCATTCCATTTTGCCCAATTCGCTTCCGGCGCGCCCCGCTGGTAGCCGACCGCCTGCTGGACCCAGCTCGCCGGTGATCAACAAGCAAGGCGTTCCAGGCAGGGTCTTGCTTTCGGCCCGGCTTCGTCCTCGGTGGACCGGCGCCAACCGGTGGAAGTAAAGCGGTGGCAGGTCTGCTGGAGGAAGCTCGGCGGAAGGCGACGGAGGTAAAAGATGCACCCCCAAGACATGACAGTTTTGGGGGATTCAGGCTTTCCGTAACCGGCCATGTGAGGCGTTCCACACAGGGCCTCGCTTTCGAGGATCGGAGGAGTTGTGATTCCTTCCGCGGCGGAACTGGCAGAATTCAACAATGTTTCCCCAAGAGATGGTAATATTTGTGGGGCCAGGGTTTGTGGAACCCACCATGTAGTTGATGGATGATTTAGGGGACAGTGCGCTCGGAGCCAGAGCAACGGCACGGTTTTGAAAAAGAAACCATCTTCCATCCGAGCAATTGTTGCACAATGCAAGCCTCCAGTTTTGAAGGAAACCTCAGGCGAGAGCCGGAGATTACAAAGGATCACCCTCCGTTTGAACAGTTGTTGGAGGATTCGAGTTGCTCACGGGGAAATCATGTTTTAATGCGGGCCGCTCTCCATGAGGCGAACAAACGCGGCACAACCGCGCGAAAATTTGTTTTGAAAAGGGACCGTTCTCCACCCGTGTTACGGTTCGGAATGTGAATGTGCGCGTCTTGACGCCGAGAGCTAGCTTTTGCAGCGGAGCCCATCCGTTCAGCGGTTGGAAATATTGAGACGAATGCGCGCGGCACTGTGACGAAACCATCGTTTGAGAAGGAGTCACCCTCGACCCGCGAAACGGTTGAAAGTTTTGAGACGACACGTGTGCGGCGCCCAGGCGAGAGCCACGTTTGAAACCGCTCGTGCAGCTAAAGGACACCCCCAACTTGTTGCACACACTCAGAGGAGATACCAAGCGAAACGCCCAGCTCGCCCTACCGACACGTCTGATGGTGCGACAACGAAGAGTTTGTTTAATGGGAAGAGGAATGGTCTAGGAGGAGGAGCAGGAAGAGGAGAGGAAGAGGACGAGGTCCAAGAGGACTGGGAAGACTGGGAAGACCCAGAGCAGGAGCGGCGAGGAGGGGAAGGATCAGGGGGAGCGGGGCAGGGAGGAGGAGGACGAGAAGGAGAAAGCAAAGGGGAGGGGGGAGGGGAGGAGCAGGAGGAAAACAAACAAACAAAAAACTACCCCGTGTCGCCGCCCGAGGCCCGGCCCGCCACGAACGCGCACAGCTGCGGCTCCACAACTGCAGCGGGTCTGGCGCGACGGCGGCTGAGAGTTCTTCGGGCCCTGGCTGGGCGCAGGCCAGCCCCGTGGCGTTCGCTCTCGCGGTGTCCTCTCCTGACGCTCCTCTCTGCTCCTCATCCCGTTCCTCCTCCTCCTCTTCATTTCCTTCCCCCCCTCCTCCTTGTCTCCAGTCATTGCTCTGCGCCCGCCTACACATCACATTGTAGTCTCTTGGATACCAGGAGAAGTTTTTCCCCACGCAGTGGCGAAGAGGAGCGTGAAGGTCGCCGCCCTGACAAAGTAAACCAGCGCAGGGAGATGGAGGTTTCCCAACTCGATGCTCTCATCGAACGCACGGCCCGTCGTGCTGCAGAGAAGACAGGGGTTACCGTTTCGGCGCAGGTCAAGGAAGTGGCGGTCAACGTCGCCAGAGACACGTGCCGTGAAACGGTGAGCGAGCTGGACACCCGCTTGAAGAAGTTTGAAGGCAATGCCATTCTGTTCGGGGGTTCTACTTCAGGCCGTGTGCATGATGGTGTTTGTGGTGGGTCCTTTCACACGGCGATGTCGGCCGTGTGTTGCCATGCCCCAGGAGGTATCGACATCAAGGGCTTCGTGGAGGACTTGAGAGATCCCGACGCGACGTCCTTGACAGCAGTTGGGGCCAAGAACGTCACTCAGCCCGCCCTTGTCAAATATCTTTCTGAATATTCGCAGTAATGTCGATGCGGAAAGAACGTGCGCCACCTTCGACAAGAAGGCCTCACACACCAAGATCACTAATTTCCCTCATTCCAAAGATCGCGGAAACGCTTGGAATCTGCAGAAAGCGATCAATAATCAATAATAGTATCGCATCCAGTGTTGTTTCGATTCGGCAGAAAGCTCTTGTGGTGGTGGTGGACCCAGACTCGTCATTCTCTATTTTTGGTCAGCAGGCCACCAAGCTCTACAGCGCCGTGGAGTCGCTCAACCTGCCAAAGATCCAGGTGAGGCTCGACTATCCAAAGATCGGAAGCGTCCAGCACATCGTCGCTCGTCGCGTCGAGGGCGCCCCGCATCCTGTCAAGCTGGCCACCCTCAACCTCAATGCAGGCTGGTCTCTGGTCGTCGGCAAATGGACGGACTGGGGCTGCACGAGGGACGAGACTTTCATCACGAGTGCGATCACGGGGGCTTGATTGCGCAGGGGGAAGGCTCGACTTAGGGGTTCAAGTCGCAGTGCGGGTCTCACTCTTGCGTCCTGGAATATCAACAACACCCCGATATGCACGCACTGTTAGTGTGAGTCTTCAAGGGTGGTCCTTCTGGAAAGGGTATCCTGACGATGATGTGCACATCGGGAGCTGGGGGCGTCGCCACTCAGAGGGGTCATTTGGCTTGCACGTTTTTCCCCAGTCATTCAGTCTCGATTGGTTGGCAAGGCGCGAGTGGTATATTCTATGCGTTCAATCCGGTTACATGCCAGTTTCCTGGGGCCACGGCGGATTTCACAATCCACATCCACGACATCGTATCCAACCATCGGATCCCAGATCCTCACGGCTGAGCGCACAGATCACCAGCCATTCGCACACGTCATCACGGGATACTTCAACGCTTCGAATCCAGGGGTCCAGGGGTTCGCGGGCTCATCGGAGCATGGTTGAGAGAGCAGAAGTTCCTTGGCGCGTGAATTCACAATGTTTGATCTTATGAACCACTTCCGTTGCCACGTTGCTTCAACAGTTCTTGCAGCTTGCCAAAATCCCACGCGCGTGCTGTTCGCACAGCATGACTACATCCTGTGCAATCGTAACCTATCCACGCGGCAGGGCAATCACAATGCCAAATGCTTGCTTGGAGGGGCCAAGCGTGCTCACACGCCGATTGGCTTGCCGATGCACGAATGGATCAACGAACGCACGCACCACAAGCACATGCACCTCACGGGCTGGCGACCCGACGGGGAGTTGGTCACATCTCGATTTCGCACAGAGTCTGAGTTGAAGTTGACCGATTTCCAGAACGTGCCGACGCCACCTTGCGAGGGCATCAAGACGGCGAGCGACGTCACACACGCTCGCGCTACAACTGCGCCATTCACTACCACGCACTCCAGGCGCCCCCCACTGCAAGCCAGGCCGCTCGATGCTGCGAGGCTCGAGCACGACCTGAAAAGAGGCGCAGATACCACGGAGCGCAAGCGCACCCGACAGCGTCTTCGCTGGGCTCAGCGAGCACGGCGCAGACAGAAGATGGGAATGGAATTTCCCAACAACAAGGCCAAGGAGGCAAAGTCTGTCGGCGCACCAGAGCACCTCCACAATCGAGGGGGGTGCCGAGGACGGCCACGCCCATTGGGGACTTCTGGAGGGAGGAGCACGAGGATCCAGTTGCTACGAGAGAGCACTTCCTTCATCGAGTGCGACTACATCGTGATCGCGGGCGTCGGGAGGCACGCGCTGGTCGCCGGCGCCCTGAACTCGCCACCGGCCCCCTCCACATCGCCCGCTCGCGCTTGAAGTCGGACAGCTCCGCTGGCAATGACCAGATCTACATTGAGACGGCGCTCGAACTCCTCGGCCACCAGCGCCGAGGTTTGCCCCCAGCTGTTCGAGGCTCGCCTGGAGGAGAAGGAAGAGGAGGAGGAGGAGGAGGAGGAGGAGGAGGAGGAGGAGGAGGAGGAGGAGGGGCAATCTGCAGCTTCCTGGGCCAGAATCATAATGACATGTTTAGGACAGGAACGCGGGGCCCAGCATATGTTTTTACACCGCGGGGCTGCCCTGATAAGTGCTGCCCAGGAACGGCGCGCCTGCACCCAGGCGACGGGCCTCATTCGGAATATATGTTCAGAAGCATGGGATCGGCCAGATAGGCTGCCGCGATTCGTGTTTTTACTGGACGCGCTGCCGGCCTTTGACAACCTCAGCCCCAGCCCCTGCCCCCGCGCGACGCAGTTTCGCAACGCGCACGGCGCCCCGGCTACTGCTCTGCCCTTGGGGGGCGTAGATCTGGAGTTGGCCCCCAGTCTCCAGAGAGCCCAGAGCCCATCGCCCACACCTTGCACTGAACGCGAAAAGACGGGGGACACCTTTATCACTGGCAAACGGAATTTCGCTAGCGAGCTAAGCTTTTCCCACCTTCGAATGATCTTGAGTGAGTCCGGCGGCGGGGCGCTGATCGAGGGCGCCAGAGCACTTACTGCGGCCTCCAGCGGGCTGATATCTGGTCGCGGCTGGCCACGTCTGCTGAGTAGCTGCAGGCGACGATTCAGGATGCCACGCGCGAAATGGGCAAGCCCGGCCTGTTCTGAGAAGCCAAAGCACGGAGCACCTCACCCCTAGTCTCCACGCGCAGGCACCCTTGCGCATCCGTGTCTTTTGGCCCGGGTCGGAGTTCCTTGCCGCCCCCCCCCCCGACGGACGTCCCGGACGCGCCCCCTGCCTCGCTGTTCCTGGACCCTGGAGCGCTTCAAGGTGCGATTCAAATTCCCCGTCGCAAAAAAAAACTCCTGCCAGGCACCATTATCTCGGAGACTGGGGACTCCAACGCAGCCATCCATCATCGAATCAGACAGGCCTTTAAGATGTTCTTCAGCGATCACCAGTTTCGACAGCCCCTTTTCATCCCGCCACGAGCGCATGCAGCGCCACTCCGAGGCTACCACTGCTTATCTGCTTTACGGTACCGAAGATCCCGCTTGGAATCAAACGACGCCCGAGAGAGTTCGAGAGTTGGAAAGAGGGACGCCGACGCCGCAACAGATTGCCCGAGTCCGAAAACGAGAAATCGAGACCAGCGAAGAGCACTCCAAAAGAGCGGCGTGCCTAGCACGCACCATGCACAGGAACGCTGACCACAAGTCGATCGAAGTCTGCCTTTGGAACGCTGATACATTTCTATTGCTTCATCTTTCAGATTGGCAACCGGGCGTCAGAGGTGGGCCCGCTCCGCCATGAATGCATTGTCCGAGGCTTCGCAGCGACGACTCTCAGCGTCGCGCCAGGCGCTGGAGGCGCACCTGCCAGGACCTAAACGCGCACGCAGCGAGCCACAGAGATGGAAGCACAGGGTTGGATCGACGAGGAGGACTACATACGCGGGAGGATCTCTGCAGTGACCCATGGGGGGCGGAGTGGAGGGGCAGGATCAATCAAGAGCGGGAGGCGGGCATGGAGGAGTTTTTGGCATGGTCTCTGGAACACCGCGTCGGCGTTCAAGCGCGCGCTGCCCCGAGCCTCGAACATCGCTGCCGCCGAGCTCGCATCGACAAAGCCCATGACCTCCAGAGCCAGAAGCGCAAACGTGCCACTTTCGAGGGTTTGAGAACTTGGGGGAAGGAGAACCTAGAGCGGTACTACCTGCCCCTGAACATCAACGGCGACATTAGCATCACCATCAACTGGGCCCGTGGAGTCGCCAGAGTCAGTCTTGGAAGCTGCCAGATACAAGTACGTAGTATTCTGAGTGTTGTACATGATCTAATGAGGAGGCGGGGGCAGGCACTGCCAATGCAGGACGCGATTTCTATAATCGCTCGCTGAGGTGGCATAACCAGCTAGCCGGCAAGCGCACAACCAGGGAAGGTCCAAGAGCAGACCTCTTCTTTTCCAGGACTGCATTGAATCCATCCCCCCCCTGTCCGAGGCCATACGTCTTGTCGCGGATCGTTCGACGGTGGGGCCCGCGTGGGGATGGTTCGTTTTGGCTTCGTTGCTGAAGTTCCCAACCCTGAGTCCAACCTATGCGTTGGAACGCCCCTGGATGGGTGAGGGGGCCTCGGGCGAGGCATCGCCACCCAGGCGGAGCCCCGAGGCCTGCAGATGCTTGCGCCAGCCGCCGCGCGCCTGGCCAGGGCGCACAGGAGCCGACGGCCCGACATCTCTACTTTTTAGTCCTCCTTTCTGCCCCTCTCTGCGCTGCCGCCGCCGTTCCCACGTGCCTGTCTCGTCTGCTGCTGCCGTTGCGGCCAGCAAGAAGAAGGCTGGAAGTCGAACTCCTCCTCCCCCTTTGTTTCCCTGCTCCTCTTCCTCCCCCCCCCTCTCCTCCCCCGTTTCCACCTCTTCCTCTTCTTCCTCCTCATCCTCTCTAACATGGCACCCCCCTATGCCCCTCATCCCCGTATCCCCCCTCCTCCGCCTCCTCCTCCTCCTCATCATCATCACCATTATCATCAACATTGTCCTCATCGTCATCATCATCATCATCATCATCAGCAGCATCATCACCATCACCATCACCATCACCATCATCATCATCATCATCATCATCATCATCATCATCATCATCATCATCCCCCTCCTCCTCCTCCTCGCCCTCCTCCGCCTCCACCGCTGGCGCCCCCCCTACCCACCCACCCACACCTTTCCTCCTCCTCCTCCTCCTCCTCCTCCTCCTCATCATCATGCTCCTCCTCCTCCTCCTCCCCTTCCTCCTCCTCCTCCTCCTCCGCCTCCTCCTCCTCATCATCATCATCATCATCATCATCATCCTAGTCTTATTCCTACTCCTCTTCCTACTCCGACGCCTACCCTTACCCCCCCCCCTCCCTTCCACCTCCTCCTCCTCCTCTTTCCCATCCTCTTCCTCCTCATCCTCCTCCTCCTCCTCCTCCTCCGGTCGTTCCCAAAATGTGGCCGTCGTTTTAGATTTCTTCACCATTCATGATTCTGAAGCTAGAAAAGTGGCAACAGCTTCACAGCTGGAGGGCGGGTCGTTTTCAAAATGCGGCTCTCGCTTGTGTGCCGTGCACATTCGTTCCAAACATGTGCAAGGGCTTCACGGATTGAGGGCGGTTCCTCTTCAAAATGTGATTCTCGCTTTAGCGCCGCGCACATTCGTTCCAACAAATTGCAAGAGTTTCACGGGTTGAGGGCGGGTCGTTTTCAAAATGTGGCTCTCGCCTTCGCGCCGCGCAAATTCGTTTTAAGAAAATTGCACGAGCTTCACAGCTTGAGAGCGGGTCGTTTTCAAAATGTGGTTCTTGCTTTAGCGCCGCGCACATCCGTTTTCAAACATTTGCAAGAGCTTCACGGATTGAGGCGGGTCGTTTTCAGAATGTGGTTCTCGCCAATTGCAAGAGCTTCACTGGTTGAGGGCGGGTCGTTTTGAAAATGTGGCTCTCGCCATAGCGCCGCGCACATTCGTTTTTAAAAACTTGCACGAGCTTCACAGCTTGAGGGCGGGTCGTTTTCAAAATGTAGCTCTCGACTAAGCGCCGCGCGCATTCGCTGTAGAAACTTGCAGGAGTTTCACGGAATCCCACGATCAACGTACCAGGAATGGCGTTTGGGAAACATTCTGGACCCTGCGGGTGCAACAGTTATGCTGGCTCGCGGTTTTGAAGTCCCAAGAACGGCGTTCCGTCACGATTCCAAATCGTCAAAACACAGCTATCAGGTTGATCCGTGGCGTGGAAACCCCGAGAACAAATCTTCGGCATGTTTCAAGGTCTTCAAACGGGTGTCTTCCAACGAGGCAGCTCCCTCAATGGAAATGAACGGTGGTAGGGGTCTATAAAGAGAGAGCTTGGAGGGAGGGTTAATTCCAACATCGTTGATGACTCTGGGTTTACACTGGTCCTCCTCCTCATCCTCCTCCTCCTCCTCCTCCTCCTCTTCCTCCCCCTCCTCATCCCCTTGTCCTCCTCCTCATCCCATCCTCATCCTCTTCGTCCCCATGACCCTCGCCCTCCTAACCTCCCCGCGCGCCCCTCCGCCAGCATAGTCGGTGCGCTTGACGGGTTTGATCCGATCACCGCCGATGTTTTCGGGCAGCTGCTACCCGCCGACAGGCCTGGCCAACCGACACGAGGTCGGCACCCCAGGCTGGATGGGTTGGGCACTGACATGGTGCCGTTTTTTAACGCCTAAGAAGCGTTTGGCGCACACGATGCCAAACATCTTCTGCAGCGGCAATGGAGGGGAGGAGGGAAGATTGGTCACCCTCTGTTTGGATCTCAACTTCGAAGCTGGACTCACTGGACAACCAGGCTGTGAGAACAGGCAGGTCGGTCACAAGCTTTGCACAGGCACGGCTGCAGCTCTTGCCAGGCAGCGCTGTGCGGCGGGGACAATGATCCCACCACTGAAGTGATTCGAACCCATTTAAGTGACGACTTTCAGTTGCGCGGGGCGTTCCTACCACGGCGCCACAGGAGCAAGCTCTCAACTCGACCACGTGTTGATCCCGCGGGGCATGTTTCGAAAAGCTACGCAGGCTGGACCACCACGAGCACTGGGACAACACATCTAGTCGATCCGAATGACGCTATCTAGGGACCGCCTCCTGTCGGAGCCCGCGGCAATTATTACATCACCATGACTGCTCACGCTGCAACCCAGGAATGAAGCATCCTCTGTTTCCTCCTCGTCCTCCTCCTCCTTCTCCAGGAGCTGCTGTGGCTCACAGCACAGCAGGAGCTCCCACCACACCTACCACACCGTACAACCCACGGGTGGAGGTCACTAACATGCGGGGCGGCAGGCCTAGGCTGGCCTGCAGTGCTTACTCTTCCTTCCCTCCACCCGCAGGAATCGTGTTCGCCATGGTATTGAGAGCTTTGGCATATAATGTCGGATGGGCTGACCACACACATCTGGAAAAAAAATCGAATAGCACGCCGACCGTCGATATTATGATGCTCAACGGAACTGGGCGTGCCGCAATGAAGAATGAGGACGCGACGCAGGAGAACTTGCCGAACCACACGTGCGTGCAGTCAGGGCCCCGAAATTCACGGTGGTCAAACTGTTCCTGCGATCTGGCGGCGGTGTTAGATGCGGAGATGAAGGGCACTATGCAGCAGACCTCGTTCCCACCACGGTCCAGGGCCATCGCAGGGCGGACCGCTATGACAAAGTCTCGCATTCGAGCATGTACGGTGGCTCTCTTTCCTGAATACATGCCACCCAAGGGTACCACGCCGTCCTTGCTGAAAGAGGCGGTCGATAAAAGCATGGCTTGGTTCAACAAGACAGCCGACAAGCTTGGATATCAACGTTTCATTATTATGGGAGGAGGTCTGAATAGCCCACTCGACATCCGAAGAGACGCCACTGAACGCAGATATTATCAAGCTGGACACACAGTTGAAATAAAAACGCTCATGGATGGAAGAAGCAGTTTCACAGCGAGTTCGAGACGCGCTCGAGGAGAACCACCAGACATTTGCAAGCAGATACTGGGATATGGGACCAACATATTTCAGCGGTGCCGCCAGCAGCAAAATCGATCAGTACGTCGCGCCACCGAACCCAAGCAGCGCATCATCACCCTCAAGACGCTTCGAGTGCTCGGGCGGCGACTGCAATGGCGCTTCGAGTGCTCGGACCATATCCAACTGCTCATGGAGTTAGACACTCGCACGGAAGTAGTACACAAAGGCGCTCAGCACCCTCAGGCACATCGAGGCTATTCAATGGGCGAGCATGTGCACGGCCATCTGCGCATTGAGTACATGAGGGAATATGAGAAGAACACCGAGGAGACGCCAGAAGACGCATGGAGACAATTATGGGAGCGAGATGACATACAAACTGGATGGGACCTACTGAGGGCCAACATTCACAAAAGTCCGCAACGATAATTTCTACCAGGGGGGCACCCTTCTCAGAAGAACGAGTACGTGAGCGCGGAGAGGGTCGCGCTGATCAGATATCGAGATGAACTTCGTGAGCGACTAGGGCGAGAAGGCAGTAAAGCTCTCGACCAGAAGAACCCGCACCAAGCTAGACACAATGAAATATGCCTAAAATTTGGATTGTTCATTCGTGAATTACAAGCTGCGCGCCGATGGCACACTTTGGAACGACGCATCGAGACCGCTGATCAACTCGATCACGCATGGAAGCGACATGACTGGGCGCAGATACATCAGTCGAAGACCTCTCCCTCAAGCACGGGAAGGGGGCATAAGAAGCGGTTCATCTACGGCACGAAGCACAGCATAGCAGGTGATGAAGCGACACGCGGGCTCGCACAGGAAGCTGGAGACGGCGGGCTCGGGGCAGTACTTATTCAATGGGCAGAGTTTGCTGCGGACTATCAGTTCTTACTCAAGATGAACGTGGAGGACCTCACCCCACACTTCCAAGCCAAGGTCGCCCACGCCCAGACGGGCCAGCCCAAACAGTTCAAGGCGCAGACAATGCACAACGCGCATGCAGTCCGCCCGCTCGCGGACGAATCGAACATCGCCGCAGTCAATAGAGCCAGGGAGCAGCTACAAGGCGATGGATTGAAGGAGCCGATCAGAACGCCAGCAACCTCGGAGCTGAAGCTTCGACAGGCGATGCATCAGGCCATCACGCACGTGGGAGGGAGCCGATTCAGGGGTTCGCACCACCCAGCGCCCTCGAGCGCGCATGTCAGAGCCAGCTATGCGCCTACAAGATGTAAGATACGCCGCAGCACACGTGGAAAGTATGCGAAGACAGGCAGCCAGCGGAAGTCAGCGAGCAAAGGACATGCTGAAGCGCTGGGCCACCAACATATCCTTGTGCGGAAAGCCACTTCTGCCCTGCCGCTGTTTGACATGCAGTTCCATCGGCTACAGCAGTTTCGTCCAGAGCGCGATTACCAATACATCTCTCATCAGCCACGTCTGGGCACAGACTACAGAATACTATTCCTTTTCTTGGCCTTCATCCGCCAGATGTCCACAACCACGACCACACGTTGGGACCGGCAGTGGGGCTGTGAGTTGCAGTGAGCTATGTCCATCAAGATCGAGCTCTGCTCTCACTGCCATGGCGAAGTGGCAGCCACGACATCTACGGAAAGGATTCTTGCTCTCTAGACCCTTGAGCGTGGCGGCACTGGCAATATAGAGTAGTAGCAGCATCACGTTCAACGTTTCACACATGCATGTATGTCGTGTAGCACGGCGCAGTGAGCACGCGATGCGCATACTTATATACTGAGTGTGCCCTGAGCGTCCACTAAGCATGTAACTACGTATATAGTTGCAGGCAGGGAGGGTTGAGCCTAGAGTTTCGCCCTCTAGTTTTGCTCAAATTAGGAGGATGGAGACGGCCTAGGGCCGACGAGGGGCCCTAGGCTATATAGGCCCCCACGGGTTCCCTCAGGCGCCCTTCCGCCTCGCCCAACGACAGAACCAGCAGCAATTCAGGACGCTGACAGGCGCCCAAATTAGTTAGGCTCGTGCCCCGTGCCCGAAGTCGAACGAACTGCTGCCAAGGTCGCTCGCTCGCTCGCTCCTCCTTCTCCTTCTCCTTCTCCTTTTCCTTCTCCTTCTCCTTCTCCTTCTCCTCCTCCCCCTCCTTCCCATGATTCTCTTTCCCCTCTTGGAAAATGGGAAAGGGAAGAAGAATGGGCAAGAGTACCACGCGACGTCGCTGGGGATTGGCCACGAATGGCTGCTGCATCTCTGGTTCGGGGTGGACGATGGCCATTACATCCAGGACATGCTGATGCTGGGGGCCTTCGGCGCGTACTCAATGTACCGCGGTGTTAACGCAGCCCGCCCGGTGGGCGGCTCTCTTGCCCACCAGGCGTGGCGCGCCATGGAGCACTCCCTGCGGGAGGTGCCTGCCGGCCACGCGCCGTCCAAGCGCACCTTGGCTTCCGTGTGGCGGAGAACTGGTCCACGGCTGCGCCTTCAACTGCTTGGGGCGCGATCTGCGTGACTGCGCCAGGCGACTTCTGAGCCGACGCTGTGGCCGTCGGCCGTTCCTCTCCTCCTTTCCTCCGTCCTCCCCCTCCTCCCGATCCGTGGTGCCGATTTGCTGCTCCGTGCGCGCAGGTCTGCTCGCGGCAGTGGAGGCCCAGAGCACGCGAGCAGAGCGTACAATCGCCCAGTCGCCCGCCTGCTTTGTGGGTGGTGTCGTCGCCCCCTCCTCCGCCGTCCCGCGTCGCTTTTCTGCCTGCTCTCCCTCTTGCCCGTCTCTCGGGCGGTCGCCCGGGCTTCGCCTTTCCCCCTCCTCTCGGGCGTCGTCTCCTGTCGCTCGCCCTCCTCCTTCCCCCGGCTCCAGGCTCGTCCTGGTCCCGGGTGTCGTTCCCTCCTCTGCCCCCTGCTGCCGTTGCTCTCCTGGGTCGGCCACATTGCGGGTTTGTGGGCGGGCGAGGTGGTCGTATACAGGCTTCTTTGTATTATTTAATATGATGGATCGTTCTGGCTGCATTGCGTACTTTGTTTCTCGCCGGCCCTCGGTGCCAACGTGCGCTCGCGGCAGTGCGCCCGCAGGTCAGCTCGCCCCGACTTGGTTGGTGCTGGGGAGTTCTCCGTCCTCTCCTCAACCCCCTCCCCCTCGTCCTCCTCCTCCTCCTCCTCCTCCTCCTCCTCCTCCTCCTCCTCCTCCTCCTCCTCCTCCTCCTCCATCTCCTCTTGCTGCGGTGCATGGAGCCAGCTTTGCGTGTTTTTTTTCTTCAGGGGCGCGGCTGGGATTGCCCTGCGCTGCGCTGGTCCGCCCCGCACGGAGGTCGGCAGCTGCAGGGACACCGGCGCCCGCCTTCCGCCGAGCTTCGACATTGGAGCTTTCCCAGTCGCCGGGCCCCTTCTGACTTTGGGTTTCCAGTCGGCCCTGGGCCTGCATGGTTGCGTGCCCCACGGTGGCGAGCATGAAATCGCACTCATGTGTCAATCGAGTTTATTATCAAGTTCTCGCCTCACGCGCGTATTGCTTCCGTTTGCTGTATTGTACGCGGGCCATTCTTAGCATTGGTTCCTCTGCTCCGGCATTGAGGCGGCTTCTTGCAAGTTTGTAGTTGCTTCTCCCTCTTCCTTCCCCCTCTGCCCTCCCCCGCTCACGTTGGGCGCATGTGCGGGTCCTGCCGTTTTCACCGGTAAAGGGTTTCTCACGCGACAGTTCCCCTTCTAGTAGCGTGGTTAAGCCGTTCTTTCTCTGGTCGATGTGCCGCCGTGTGTCGTCGAAATTTGCAGCCCAGCTAGGCTTTTTTTCGGCCTGAAACATCCCGCATGCGCGGTTTGTGTTTTGCCGCAGAGTGCACGCTCATGCCAGGATCTCGGCACAGCACTGAGAAGAGACATGAGGAACGTTGATCATCGGCTGCCCGCGTCCGCTTCCCCCCTCTCCAAAAGATGCGTTTGACCGCCGTCGGAGCGGCTGCCAGACCACAGTGGAGGCCCCAGCAAGCCTATCCAGGTGCAGCAGCCACAGAACGGAAGCTCCCGTCAGACTCTAGTTGCTGAGAGGGCTTCCCCCCCAACAACGACGATCACCACCACCTCCACCACCATCACCACCAGGACGATGACGACGACGACGACGACGACGACGACGCCGACCACGAGATGACGACGACGACGACGACGACGACGACGACGACGACGACGACGACGACGACGACGACGACGCCGACCACGACCGCGACCGCGACCACGACCACGACCACGACCACGACCACGACGACCTCGATGACGACTTCGATGACCACGACCACGACCACGACGACGACGACGACGACGACGACGACGACGACGATCCACCCACCCCAACGAAGAAGCTCCCTGCTCACAAGAAGCCGGCGGGGTGGGCTATCGGGCCTTTGTCGGTAATCCATGGGCGAGGGGGTCGATGTATCCCCCTCTGAGCCTACCCCATGGTAGTTTTCGAGTCGACTCGGGTCCCTAGCGACCGTTCGGGACGATCCAGGCACCCCCAGAACGCCCTCATCGAGGCGCAGCTGCTGGAAGGCATCCTGGGGCTGGAAAACTGTCGGAAACCGAGGGGAACGCCCGAAAAGTTGAAATCTCAGACCTCGAGCCTCGATCCCGAGCCTGCCCCCCTGACGTTGCTCCTGACGTCCGCAGGTGGCCGACGAGGGCGCGGGGGATCCGCCTGAGCTCGGGCGGACGGCAGCCCAGGGTGGGACAAACAGTTGAACGGAAGGCGAGGAAATGGCGCGTTTGGGGGCCGCGACCGCAGCTCGGGGGCCCTTTAGGGCCTCCTCTCCTGCAACTCCTCGTCCGCACCCCGCACACCCACCGGTCATTGGAGATATGTTTTTGGGGGGTCCCAGATTCCCATCCACTTTGGGCGCTTTCCTGTTTCAAGTGTCGAGCAGTTTTCCCGCCTCCCTCCTCCTCAGGGGCGAGCGGAAACCCTGACTACTTCCACCCACTTCGTCTGACCGATGGGCATCGCCCCCTGTCAACCCATACATCAGGCGCTCAAGTTGTTTCGATGCGTGGACCCCCACAGGTCTGCACAACTTCCCTGGGGCCGGCTTTTCATCCTGAGCCGTTCTGTAATGGCCCCAGGGCCCGGCGAGGGCCCCCGAAAACGGCGAAAAAAGTCCGCCGAGATTTTTGTTGCCACGCCCGCCCGACGAGTTGTCGCCGACCTGCTTTGCGGCCAGCCCGGCGCAGGCGCCCCCGTCTGCGCGGGCCCCAAGCGGCCGCAGCAGCCCTGCCCGCGCCCCCGCGGACAGCGGCCCCGCCGCCAGCCTCGCCCGGCACTGGCCCGCGCGCTTGGATTCGGCCTGCCCGCGGCCCCCTGAAGCCGCACACCAGAGGCCACTCTTCGCCGAGCGCGTTCCACTACTCGCAAAGTACCTACTCGCAAACTTCCGAAAAGCACATGTCTGCTTTGATGTAGTTTATCGTAGATCCCTTGTGGCGGATCCAGGCCACTTGCGAGTAGCTAGTTTGCGAGTAGTGGAACGCGCTCGTCTGACTCTTGCCTGGGGCCACTCTCGCGTGTATGCCCTGCCTGCTCTGTGGCCACCCCGGCGCAGGCGCCCCCGTCTGCGCGGGCCCCAAGCGGCGCCGGGCGCCCTGCCCGCGACCCCGCGGACGGTGGCGCCGCCTCAGGCCCCGCCCGGCGCAGCCCGCGAAGCCACAGCGCCGGGCGCGCCCGCGCCGCGGAGACGCCCCACGCGCGGCCCGCACAAGGAGCTCCAGCCCTGGCGCCGCGCGGGGAGGATTCGTCGTCGTCGTGGACGTCGTCATCGGAGGGGGGGATGAGGAGGCAGGAGGAGGAGGAGGAGGAGAACCAGTGCAAACCAAAGACTCGTCAACAATGCTGAGATGCACATTCCCTCCAAGATCCCTCTCCACAGGCCCCTACAAGGGGTTGTTTCCACTGAGGGATTTGTTCCGTTGGGGGACAACCGTGTGAACATCTTCAAGCGTAACAAAACACAAGTCTCATGACTTCAACGCCGCGAGATAACTTTATTGTTACGTTTTGGCGATCCTGAATCGTGCCAGAACACCAGTCCTGGGACTTCAACACCGCGAATCAACGTAACTGCTGCGCCCTGAAATCATGAATCGTTCCAGAACACCACGTCCGGTATTTTGACCGTGAGTACCAATGAAGCTCTTGCAAATGTTTAAAACGAATGAGCACGGCGCTAAGGCGAGAGCCACATGTTGAAAAGGAACCGCCCTCAATCCGCGAAGCTTCTGCTATGTGTTTACAACGAATGTGCGCGGCGCTAAGGTGAGAGCCACATTTTGAAAAGGAGCCGCCCTCAATCCGTGAAACGATTGCAAGTGTTTATAAAACTAATGTAGGCGCTCAGGAGAGAGCCGCATTTTGAAAACCACCCGCCTTCAATCCGTTAGACGTTTTCCCATTTGTTTAAAACGAATGCGCGCGGCGCTAAGGCGAGAGCCACATTTGTGCAAAACACCCGCCCTCAATCTGTTCAACTGTTGCAACGTGTCACACAGACTGTGCGCGGCGCTACGGCGAGAACCACATTTAAAAAACCACCTGCACTCCATGTGTGAACCTGTTATCAAGTTTAAGCATCAGGGTTGTAAAAGTTGAGGAAGTCCCAGGCGAAACGTCCGGCCCGTCTTTTCGACCGACCTCAGGGTGCGACAAAGGAAATTATCTATAAGGAAAACGAATGGAGAAGGAGGAGGAGGAGGAGGATCGGCACGAACGAAATGGGTACGGAAAGAATGGGTACGAAACCCAACAGCAGTCCCTGTTCATTTTGAACAGGACTCGCTGTCCGCGCCGCCGCGGCCTGTGTCCATTTGAGACAGAAGACCGCCTGCCCAACAGCGGCCGCTGTTCGTTCGGGACAACATTTGTTGTTGGGCATTGTGCCCATTTTTTCGGTACCCATTTCGAGCGTCCAAAGAGGAGGAGGGAGGAGGAGGAGGAGGAGGAGGAGGAGGAGGATTCGAGGCCGCCGGGGAGAGCGGCCCTGGAGGGCATCGGTTACGCCGGCGCTCTCTCCCGGGCCTTTTTACCTCTGGGGGCTTATCCTGGTGGTGGCGTGAGTGATAAGCGTAAGCGCGTCACCCACCGTCTCAGCCGCACTGACACAGGAGCACACTTCATCGCAAGGCCCCGTTTCGCATCATTAATGATCCTCCCCGTCATGCCTGCTCTGCGCAGACATGGAGCGGCGCTTATGGTGTCTGAGACTCCCTCCTTCTTCCGTACTCTTCGAGACAGCTGGAACTGCCACACACACACACACACATGCACACCGGGTCCTGCTACAGCAGATCCTGAAGGCACGAGGATTGTGCCTTCATCTTTTCTTCGTCGATTTCCTCCCCCGACTCATCACCACCATCAACACCATTATCCTTCTCATGAACGCCATCATCACACTCACCCATCATCATCAGCAGCAGCATCATCCTCACCATCACCATCACCATCACCATCACCACCATAATCGTCACCAGCAGCAGCAGCAACGGCAGCATCATCATCGTAATCATAATCGTTCATCACCAACCAACCATCACCGATCATCACCGATCATCATCATCATCATCATCATCATCATCATCATCATCATCATCATCATCATCAATATCATCACCATCACCATCACCATAACCACCGCCATCACCACCATCACCACCACCACCACAACCACCACAACCGGAAGTGGGGGAGTGGGGGAAGTGGGACAGCCGAGAGAGTGGGGGAGCAACGAGAGGGACAGCCGATCCGTGCAAAGGAAGAGGCGGAAGAGGAGGCCAGATGGATAGATGAGGGGGTGGCGAGGAACCGAGCAAAGGAGGGATGAGGAGAATGATGACGCTGGGTGGATGGTTGAATGCCGCTCGGATGCCTCTTGGAAGCCTTTTGGAAGCCTCTTCGGGCGTCTTGGGGGTCTCTTGGCGGTCAATGGGGGTTCTTGGGCGTCTTGGGTGCTTCGGGGGGGCCTCTTGAGGCCGCTTGGGATCCTCTTGGGGGGCTCTTGGGGGCCTGTTGGAGGCCTCTTGGGGCCTCTTGGGGGTCTCTTGGAGCTTCATGGCGGCCTCTTGGAGCCTCTTGGAGGCCTCTTGGAACCATCCTGGGAGCCTCTTGGGGCTTCTTGGGACCTCATGGCGGCCTCTTGGGGCCTCTTGGAGGCCTCTTGGAAGCCTCTTGGGGCCTCCTGGGCGCCCTTTGGGGCCATCTTGGAAGCGATCGATCAAAGAAGAGGGTGGAGTTAATTAACCGTGCCCCCCCAAGAGGCCAAAATGGGGCCAAAACCCAAGTAAAACCGATGAGTTTGGCTTCCTCGCCGAGGCCGTTTTGGACGCTCCAACTACCAGCGAAACCCCCCGTCCAGGTCCAGGGGAGGAGGTTAGGGGGAGGGGTAAACCCCTCCCCGAAGGGGAAGAAGGAGGGGTGGAAGAGGAAATTCCCTAAACCACCTACGCCCAGAGGGCTGGTGGGATTCACTCCTCCTCGTTGCACCGCCTGGCGTAGGGCGGGCTGAGCGTTTCGCCTCCGACGTCGTTACAGTCGTCCCCAAAGAATGCTTGCACCAAGGGGTTCTTCATGTGTTGTTTTGTAGTTGGCGGACATTGCTGTGTTTTTGTCCACGGTGCTTGCCTGTTGGCGCCGCGTGGGGCCCCCGTGCGTTGGCTCGCGTATTAAGATACAGGCATACCTTCCACCCAATGGATTGCACCACGACGTAGAGTTGCACCACATCGCTTGCAGCGCGAATCATGCACGACATCGAGTGCACCGCAGGGGTTACAACGCGCACGCTGCATCAAATAGCATGCACCACGCAGAGAGGCTCGTATCTGAAAAGAGAAACTCGACCACCCGAGCCCAGACTTATCGACTATCCTTGGGATACTATGTTTGCATGCGGTTGTGCCGCATCGCTCATTCTGAACGTGAAGTCATACCATCCCCTGCGGGCCCGTATTCCCCCCCCCGCCATTCTTGTCCAAAAGTGTCATGCGCGCACACTCGTTTATTTCAAAAGTGGTGTTTCAAGAATCCAACTGCACAGGCTAGATGGGGGTCGGCCCTTTTCAGATTGCAGATGGTATTGTCCTGCTCATCTTCGACGACCCAAAAATTCAACATGTGCAACAGCCACACGGATTGAGGGCTGCTACGGTAAACGGTGGTCTTTGGTTTGATGATTCGTTTTCGAAATTGACCCGCATGCGTGATAGCGACGCGGATGGGGAGCTTACCGTTTTCAGAGTGAGGCTATCGCCCGACGTTTGCTTGAGCTCGATGTTCCCAGATCTGGAGTCTTTTACAGCTACAAGGATGGAAGGCGGTTCCTGTCCAATCCAGAGCGCCTGCCAAAGAGGCGGGCCCATGGGGCAGTCATCAATCAAGAGCCCCCTCCCCCCCGCTGTGAAAAGCAACGCTTGCGGGAACCCATCAGGAGGGGGCTTGGGAAGGGAGGGTGTGTTGCAGCATCGCGGACGTATCTTCCTCTTCCTCAGAAGAATCATCACTACCACCTTAATCCTCATTATGTGATGATGACGATGACGATTACGATTGCGAAGATGACAATGACGATGGCGATGACGATGACGGCGATGACGATGGCGATGACGATGTCGTCGTCGTCATCGTCATCGTCGTCACCATCACCGTTCTCCGCGCACAGGACTGCGCATGCGGCCGCCCTCGGTACCGGCGGCGTGCCCGAGAAGCTCCAGCGAGGTGCCCCATCCTTGTATTGTTTGCTCCTCCCCACGTCCCTCGCTCCCTCCCTCCCCCTCCTTCCCCTCCTCCTCCCTTTCCTCCTCCCTCCTCCTCTCCCTCCTCCTTTCCCTCCTCCTCGCTCCTCCCTCCTCCCTCCTCCTTGCTCCTCCCTGCTCCTTTTCCTCCTCCTCCTCCTCCCCACGTCCCCTGCTCCCTCCCTCCCTCCCCACGTCCCTCGCTCCTTCGCTCCCTCAACCCTTTCCCTCCTCCTTCGAAACCTTGTCATGGGGTCTATCCTCATGGGGGGCCGAGCCTCACAGAGGCCAACACGCGGATGAACGGCAGCATGGAAGTCAATAACGGAAGCCAGCATGAAGATTATTGACATCGAGGCGACCAGTGTCTCAGCGACCCGCCTCGGTGAGGCCAACATCACGGAGCCCAACATCATGGAGGCCAGCCTCTTGAAGCTGTGCGGGTTGCCGAGCTCCTTTGTCGACGTTGGCATGGCATGGAATGGGATCTGGGTGTGCCAGTTAGCGGTGGAGTTTGTGATGAGGTTGTGAATGCCATGCCCTGCCAGATTGATTTGGCTGTTGAGGAAGCCACCATCCTCGCAGCGATCGGAAGCATCAGGGCACGTGCGCCTCATGGGTACCGCGTCCGCGGGCCCAGGAGGGTGCAGTCGCGTGTGCAGGCACTCCCTTCTTCGCGGGCAGCGTTTGCAACTAAGCGTGCAACCGACGAGGGCTGTGGACGATGGTTTTTGTATCAGCCGACCATGATGCTCTTCTATACGTGCCTCCGCAGGCGCACAGGGGCGAAGGCCCCTTGGCAAGTTATGAATGAAAACGCTCGCACTAATCACACACTTTTGTACTGAGGCTGCGGTGGGTGGCCAGGCCTCGTTTGCCACAGAGCCAGGGATGTAAACACTGTTCGGGAAGAGCACGTGGCCAAGTATGCAGGCGGATACTGTCAAGCGCTGCGATGCGCCGCCTTACCGATGGGCGACGCACTGTGACCTTGTGCAAGTGAGGCTCCGTTCGCTGTGAGCACAACCACTGCGTGCCATGTGCCTCCTGTCTATCTCCCTCCGTGCCGCCGACTGCTGCGCAGGCAGGCAGAAGAGACCGAGGTCCGTGTCGTGGCGTTTTGCGCGCTGGCTTCTGGCACCGCCAGGACCGTTCAACCTTGATACAATACAGATCGTTCGACACCGGCCGATCAGGCCGCCCCTGACCCAGAGCCGCGGAGAAGGACGACGACGAGGCGGAGATGGAGGAGGAGGAGGAGGAGGAGGAGGAGGAGGGGGAGGAGGGGGAGGAAGGGGGAAGGGAGGAGGAGGAGGAAGAGGAGGAGGAGGAAGAGGGGGGGAAAGGGAGGCCTTCCCCCTCCCTGGCCCCTTCTCGACTGACCTCCATGGGTGACTTGTTCTCCTCGTTCCTGCGCTGCCGAAGCATTCTAGCTTCGGGCTGGTGCGGCGACGAGGTCGCCCTCCCCGTGTCTCCGAGCCCCGAGCTCGTGCGCTCGCGCGCGGGGGGGGAGAGATCTGGGGGGGGTAGCAGGAGGGGGGGGGGGAGGGGAGAGCAGGGGGATGAGCAGGAGGATGAGGAGGCGGAGGGCGTTGGACCTCACTCCAGGAGAGGCGCGCCGAGGTGGATCCACTCCTCCCCCTACAGAGGGTGGGGGGCCCACGCTCGGGCCACATCCCCACGGGCACCGTCCTGACCCCGGCGCATATGGGTGCACACAGACGCCTCTCCTTCGTCCTCTCGCAGGTACTGCATCAGGGTCATCCGTCGTCCTGACGTTCTGTCGTCCTCGCTTATCTCCTCACCTGGTTCTGTTCACACTCCCCAGCAATAGCTGGGTGGAGGGCCACCGAGGGCTCCAGCTGGATAAGCAGACAAGTCCGCAGCTTCGAGGCTTCGAGGAAGAGGAGTGGGAGGAGGAGGGGGGGGAGGCACCCGTGTGAGCGGAAAATCGACTCGGGTGAGCTGGCCCGAAGGCGCTACGCACTGCACCAACAGTTGAGGCCGGAGCCCAAAGCTGAAGCGCAAAGAAAATGGAAAGGGCTCACCCTGCAGGTTCGGAACACGCCACATCGTTGAGGGGTGGTGCGGCCTCCTTGGAGCACAGCCCCCCTCCGGAGCATCAGCCAGACGAGTCGGGTTTGCACCCTCACGCCTTGCTGGAGGCGGAGGCGGGAAAGGGAGAGAAGAAGGGGTATAGGCAGAAGGTGCGGAGGGCAGAGAGCAGATCGTGGGGGCTAAGAAGTCGGATCAGATGAAGGCATGGGGTTCGCACAGAGCGTGTTCCTTCCCATCCTCATTTTCCTCCTCCACCTCATCATCATAATGATCATCATCATCATCATCATCATCAGCAGCAGCAGCATCATCATCATCCGCATCTTCCTCATCCACAGCTTCCTCATATCCTCACCGCGGAGGACAGGCGATCGCCCCCGCCGCTGTCGGCCTGGCCGAACTACGTGGGGCGTTGGTCGGGGGTTCGATATGGGGGAAGCGCAGGAGAGGCCCGTTTGGCGAAAGCCTCGGGTCCAAGGGGTGCGGTACATCACAGCGCGTTGAGCGTGGGGGCTGGTGTGGGGCTCGGCAGGCTCGGGCAGGGGGGCTCGGCAGAAGACGGTTGTGCTGGGCTGGGTTGGGCTCTGGTGCCGAGCGGATGACGCTTGGCAAACTAATTTGGCAGAGATGGCCGGGGTCGGTCCCAGCTGAGAACAGCGAGAGAGGCTTGGCGCAGAACGGTTTGTTGAGGTCGTGCCGGGGATTGTACAAGCCTGGGCTCGAGCCCATGTCGTGAGACATTGCAGAGCTTTTCCCAAGCAGTGCTAGCACTTCGTGGACCTTGTTCTTGCTTGTACAAAATCGCGTTTCCCTACCTAGGCTCTGCCTAGAAGGGTTCTTACTCTATGTGCTTAAAGGGGCCGGGCAGTGGAAAGCGCCCCGGGCGGTTCCCACGGCATCCGCCCCGCGGTTCCCCCAGTCACGCCCCCTAGCTTTAGCATTAGTTTTACTTTTAGCTTTAGCTTAGTGTTAGTTTAGCGTTAGTTTAGCTTTAGCTTAGCTTAGTTTTAGCTTAGATGTAGCTTAGCTTTAGCTTAGCTTAGTGTTAGCTTAGTGTTAGCTTAGCTTTAGCTTAGCTTAGCTTAGCTGTAGCTTAGCTTTAGCTTAGCTTTAGCTTAGCTGCAGCTTAGCTGTAGCTTAGCTGTAGCTGTAGCTTAGCTTTAGCTTAGCTTTAGCTCAGCTTTAGCTTAGCTGTAGCTTAGCTGTAGCTTAGCTGTAGCTTTAGCTTTAGCTTAGTTTTAGATTAGCTTTAGCTTAGTGTTAGCTTAGCTTTAGCTTGGCTGTAGCTTAGATTTAGCTTTGCTTTAGCTTAGCTGTAGCTTAGCTTTAGCTTAGCTTTCACTTAGCTTTAGCTTAGCTTTAGCTTAGTTTTAGCTTAGCTTTAGCTTAGCTAGCTGCAGCTTAGCTTTAGCTTAGTTTTAGCTTAGCTTTACCGTTACTACTAATGCTGCTTTCCTGGGGGCTCCAACTCCTAGGTAGGGTCGCACTGGGATAATTGGTCCTTTCGCATAATGGGCAGCCGTGGGCGCCTTGCAGGCACCCCGTGCGCTGGCTTGGTCCGGCGGGGAGTTCGCCTAGTGGGCACCGATGGGCGCCTCGTGGGGGTCGCCTCGTGGGCGCCCCGTGCGCTGGTTCGGTCCGCCGAGGTTTCGCCTGGTGGGTGCCCCTGGGCGCCTCATAGGCGCCCCGTGCGCTGGCCAGGTCCGCCGAGGTGTCACGCGGAGGTTACCCACGTGGGATCCGCTGCAGACTGCACAACATCGGTTGCACCACACAGATTGCACCACACGGATTGCATGACATGGCTTCCACTTCATATGTGGTGATGCATGAATTTTCCTTTCTAAAAAGAGATAGCTTCTACACCCTCCCCCCCCTCCCAGACTTATCCACTCACCAGGAACCGCTGCAAAACACATTTGATTATGACCCAATGTCCATCCGACCTGTGAACTCATACTATCCAAGCCAGGCCGGTATCGACCCACCATCGGCTCCCTTGCAAACACTTTTATGCGCGCGCACTCGTTTATCCAAAATCATAAGTGATCAAGAATCCCTTGCAAAAAAAACGGGACGAAGTGCGCGCGCGCGTCGTCGCGCGCGCATGCCGAAATCCTTCAAACAAACTCTCGGTTTCGGAAGGATTTCAAAATCGAGTATCCAAAACACACACACACACACATACTTAGCCTGGCGAAGGACCCAACCATATGCAGTTGTGAATACCACAATTGAGCTGGGTGGTGGCGGACGCACGCGGGCGGTGCCAATGGGCTTCGGTGGAACGCCCTATGCGGCCACGAAACGTTGTACTGGGTGGGCGAAACGCAGGGAGCAAAGGCTGTGCTGGGAGGTGGCCGACGCACGCGGGCGGTGCCATTGCGACCTTCGGTGGAGCCCCTTTTATGGGGCCACGAAACGTTGTACTGGGTGGGCGAAACGCATGGAGCAAGGGCTGTGCTGGGTGGTGGCGGACGCATGCGGGCGTTGTCACTGGGACCTTCGGTGGAGCCCCCCATGGGGCCACGAAGCGCTGTACTGGATGGGCGAAACGCAGGGAGCAAGGGCTGTGCTGGGCGGTGGCGGACGCACGCGGGCGGTGTCACTGGGGCCTTCGGTGGAGTTCCCTTTGGGGCCACGAAACGTTGTACAGGCTGTGCTGGGTGGTGACGGACGCATGCGGGCGGTGTCACTGGGACCTTCGGTGGAGCCCCTTTTATGGGGCCACAAAGCGCTGTAATGGGTGGGCGAAACGCAGGGAGCAAGGGCTGTGCTGGGTGGTGGCGGACGCATGCGGGCGGTGCCACTGGGACCTTCGGTGGAGCCCCCTATGGCGCCACGAAACGTTGTACTGGGTGGGTGAAACGCAGGGAGCAAGGGCTGTGCTGGGTGGTGGTGGATGTATGCGGGCAGTGCCACTGG